TGAAACTGCACAGATGTAATGTAATGAAAGAATGTAATGAATGACATGAAATTTACGTTCTATGTTTGTGCTGCATTTTATATTGCTTAGAAGTCAGGCAACGATTTGCAAATTATAATTAGTGATTCTTTACTAGAGCAACAATATAAAATTTGTTTATTTTCTTAAAACCTCTAAAATTTTTCAATTTTGTTGTTGTAATGTTTTTTTTTGTCTCTACCAAGAAGAACCCCCCTTGGGAAGATGCCAATTTGTGTTTGTTAATATTTGAGGCGAAATGTGGAAAGTGTTTTAATTTTGGTCTCTAGAGAGATAGTTAGTATCCTTCTGACTTTCCTTCCAGTTTATCAATTAGCACTAATAAGGAAATGAACAAGTTCTCATCTCTCGGGAAAATTAAACTTATTAGGTAAACAACACGTTTGACGCTTTAGGGAAAAAATAAAGCTGTAGGAAGAAATAAGTTGAAGAGCTATTTTATTTAGAGGTGGAATGTTGAGGACTAGATATGGAGAGTTATCCTGTCCATTAAATCCATGGGTAACGATACTGTTAGGGTTTTCATCTTGCCATTTCCTTAAAAAGTCTTTCTAGCATTGTTAAAAGTCTTTCTAGCATTGTTAAAAGTCTTTCTAGCATTGTTAAAAGTCTTTCTAGCATCTGTATCATCAGTATTAGATTAGACTCTCACATTGTATGTCTTTTTCGTCTCCAAAACGTTTTAAGCCCCGTCACACCGGACAGTGACATATTTGCGATCTACGGCGACTAAAATTATACTTGGTCGCTGGCAAACGCCAAGATAACGCCAGAAGAACCCCTCAAAAATACAAATTCTACAAAAGTCGCTCTCAATCCGAACTTATGGAACTATTGCGTTCCCTAATGTAATCTATAGGCTTGGTGTTCTGCATTTTAATGCGTTTATAATGTTACGATGCTTGTCTAAAGATATTCTTGATTCAGAGTCGATCTTAACGGCGATTATTGGAGACAATGACGCCCATCGTACGATATGTGATGTTTTCTTCGCGCTTATACTACGCCGATGGCGACCTTAACAGGCTCTGAACTAATTTCCCGTCACTGGAGCCGTTTATAGCGTCAATTTGGTCTACTTTAGGTTTCACTATGCAACAATTCGTGGTCCTACAGGCTACGCTTGTCATTGGAACATATCTGAAATAGAAAATACGTTAGATTAACTTGGTGAATAAAGTATAAAAAAATAAATAAATAAAAATACAAAGTAAGAATGATAAAAAAGAAACGAAATTTCAATTTGTTTTAATTAGATTTGCCTAGCATCAAAGTGGTCTTTTTAAGTTAATATAAATAAAACGTTGTTGAAACGACAGAAGCATAAAGATTATATCTTGCTCATGATATTGATCGAAATGAAATAAACAAGAATCTTTTTATCCAATGGGATAAGCTGAAGTTATTTTGAAACTTTCCGATAGGGAAGTAGGGAGGTCATTTCGCCGGTTACATGCGCCAAATTGGTTCTTGGTTTCAGGTTGTTTCAGTTATCTTCTATATTTCCAAATCGTTTCATAAGGTTCGTTAGTCGTGTCATATTACTTCATGTGTAATTAGTAATGAGAATTATTATGAAGATTATCATCACATTTCACTTTATTCCATTTACATGAAAGCAATATGTACACTAGCTATGTGTTATGTAACGTTTCCGAGGAGGCACAACATCACAAAAGAGTTGTAATGCAATTATTTTTAATGGAGTTACTTCTTCTTCTCAGATTCTATATTAGAGCTAATTAGTATGAGAAATCCCATACAAGAATATTGTTATTAGCAATAATAATGCTTTCCGATTTTCAATAGGGATTATCATTTTAAACGTGCGTATCCCGTATGTAGCAAAAGGGGTCTCGATATATTGTCCCATTCGAACGGCCAAAAGTTTTTCCCTTAACTGCCTCTTAGAACTGCATCACAGACAGTACAACTGGTTGAAAAACCAGAAGGATTCATCTCAACATGGGCCTTGATCTAACCCCGGACCTGGTGTATTTAGCGATTCCTGATGACAAATTTCCACTACAACGGTGTAGACATCTACCATAATGGTATCTTCACACAGACAGAGAAAGCTTGAAAGAAAGTCTGTAAATGAAGCAATTTCATTTGATTGTACTCTGGAGAATACAGCCAATCACAGTCCTCCATTATACGTGCAGCCGAAGTATTAACAGTTTTTTTTTTGTCGAGGCCCCTGATTGGCTTTAATCGCTACCGTACAATCCAAACAAATCTCCGCATTTACACTCTTCCAATAAAAGTGGCTATTGCAGTCAAGGTAAAGAACATGGCGTAATGGAGTTTTTAGATCTTTTTCGTAAGAAAGTAATTAGTGTATAAAATGTTTATATCAGATGTCACTGCCAGTCTCAAGAGATTTATTATTCTGGCTTGAGAATTGAATTTAAAGTAGAAAAACAGATGAAAACTATTAATTAAACCAGTTTTTATAATAAAACACCTCTCTGTCCTTAATATCAATACCACTAGTCTATACTAGATTGCCAAGAATTTAGTATTGGTGTTGAACGAACTTTCTTAGACAGTTTTTGGCTTTCTATGGTGGTCGCAGATAGAGTGCTTTAGCCTTTGCTCTTAATGTTTGCAAGAGGGGCTACAGAATTACCGAGGTGTCACTTGGGTAATTTTTTACATAAGAAAAATGATGAAAAAATTGAAATGGGTAAGAGGGCGAGGGTCTTCTTTAGTCAGCCACAATTCTGGAAGTAGCGATTGCAAAATTTTTAGAGGGGTTCTGTAGTCAGTCGTTTAGAGCATTAACTTCGTTTGTTTGGTTATGTTGAAAAAAAACAATTGGTCGATCGGTGGGCGAATAAGTCATTTTTCCTCGTCATTCCAGAATTTTTGGTCTAGGTAGAAGCTGGTAGAAGTGAACCCAAGTTTTTATCCTTGTTGGCTGCTTCTTTTTTTCTGTCTCGGACCAATTATATATAGATTTTCAACAATGACAAACCATGTTATATAATTGTATACAAGAACTGATTCCTTTAATAACAATCAGAGTAGTGTTATCAGCTGGTCTGGAATCATTAATAAAATAGTTATTGGGTAGTATATTGAAATACGATCTACCATGTTTGTATTTTTATTGATTGATCCTATAGCTTAATCAGACTCTTTGAGATTTCACAACTAAATAAATAACTTTTATTACAGAATGGTTTTAGATTAAACAGAATATATAGAGAGATATAGGTCACTTTGCCATGTCCGATTTCTTCATGTCGATTAGAACAAACTCTACTAGCACCGACTGCAGAGAGTTTGGACAATATATGAAATTTAGGTTGTAACATCTCTAACGATGCTTCGAAAGCACAGTCACAGGTATATGGACCAGTGAGAGATATTGTGATATCAAGGGGTGTTGGGGTAATCATTGTGGTTTCTGGCAGAGACCAGCGAACTATTACAGATAAAGCATTGATATTTTTCATGCAGGAAACGGCGTATTTAAAGTTTCACAGAAATCACAAACTGAGCCATACCAACTAGTAAAGCAAATTTTCTGACGACTATTATTCAGAACGTCGGGTCATGGAAAGGAACGAAGATTCGAACACACCGAACAGTTTTCATTGAACCATTGCGCCACTTCTTACACTTCCGTTTCATGGGTGAAGGTCAATAGTCATCGAGCACGCTTCCACTGAAAGTCGTCATGTATAGATTTTACCTCATTGTGTATCGCATTGTATCAAATAAATGTAGAGTTTTATTTTACATCGACATATCGCCTGAACAACTATGATTCTTGAGAAAGCATCTTAGTACCATCAATCAAAGTCAATGTAATTATGTATATGTTGAGGTTGAGAATGATACGACAATGTCCAGTGATGAGTAGTATGGACTAGACAATCAGCTAGAGACTATCATTAATGAATCTAATTTAATGCTACTGCCACAGTCTACTGATTATCGGATTAAAGCGTCTGTACCTCGTTTAAGGTATTCATTCAGAGAAGTTTGACTCTGCATTAAACTTAAACTGTGATAAGTTTGATGCAATGATCAGTAACTGTTGTAAATTGAAATTTCGGGTTGATTTTTTCGGGTTTTAATTTTTCACTTTCACGTTCAAATCTTTTGTAGTTGGCCTATTACACTTTTAAATATTTTTTGGGAGGTCAATGAAATTCACTGACATCTTTTTCACATTGCGTGAAAGAGGATGACTATGTTACATCAACTTGTGATAACGAGTTATAAAGTGGTTAATGTGACACGTGAAAAAAATTAAACTTATATTCATTATTGGCATGTTGATTAAAATGAAGATCTACATGTTCCGTTTATGATAATTCACATTCTTTTTTGCTAGTGAGAAAACACGAAACGAAACATTAAGATTTGTATTTTGATCAGAGTGACTTGTTGACAAACTAAATGTTGACTTATATCAGAAGCTGTACTTTTAATCAAGATTTTTATTATTGTGTTTTGGTTTTAATTTGATTTCATTTGTGATACAAGGTATTGTTGATCTTGTATATGTGCTTGATCGTGGGTGATTCTGTTGTGTGGAATAGACAATCGGCTTTGTTCGATCTAGTTTAATGAGAGCTGTAGCTCCTTTAAAATCACCATAACCTTCTGGTCAAATTAAAGTTGCTTATTGGACAGATGACCTTTATTACTGAGAGAGTTTATGTGGGTAATTTATTGGTGAATGGAGACAGTAAGATCAATATTGTGATCATCAGGAACATGACGAATAACAGCAAACTACAGGGTGTACATATAAATCACCATTAAAAATGACTAGCATTTCCTCCATTTCGATCACTATTTTCAGGGTGAGACCTGTCAAATCTTGACCAGATTCTGACGACAATGCGCAATTCCATTTCATCTGTTGTCATCTGACAACATTTTAATGGTCCTGAAAGATTGTAAAACTTCGAAAATATTGTTTCTTCTGAAACCTCGTTATAGTCCCAACCATAAGCTGTTATGGTTTTTAAACCCGGTAATAATTCTGAATCGTTTTAATGGTTCTGAAACCCTGACATGGTTCTGAGTTCTGAAAAACTGTAATGTTTTGATTATAATTATCATTATAATGTTCCTGGGACACGAATTCATATTAAAAAGGTCCAGGGTTACTGGAATATATATATGTATTTAGAAATGTGATTAAGGGATAAGGGATAAGTAATGACAAATAATCATCATTTAATGTGTCCAGTCCAGGAAATGGCCACAGCAGTGACCAACAAATATACATTATTAAAGACTCTATAATGATTTTGGATCTATTAATGGTGTGCTGGTTACTTTAATTACTCTTGATATCCTGATATACACCATTTAGATTACCATCAGTACTTAATAGTATAGAAATCAACATCAACATGCATTAGCCAGGTATGATGCTTTAAACTTTTAATGTCTATGGAAATTCTAATAGTCATGTTGATCAGTAATTTTTAACTTCGTGATATAAACTGATATCTGTGATGTTGTATGATGAACTTTGACTGGGTTGATTAGTGACTTAGAGCATTAGACCCAACCTTAGTGCTTCTTGTACCATCTAACCTTTAAACTCAAGTCAATCTCTTGGTACCCCTCTTCCAACAGAATAATCAAAGGGTACGGGATAGGTTGCAAAGGTTAATGGGCAGGGCAAACATAAATACCATAAACTGCGTACCATAAACCGATAGATTTTTATTCCCGTAAAAGACTCAACACAGAGCCCGCACTTACCCCAAGCAAGGTTTCGATTGGGAACCAGGGTTTATTTATGGCTAATCTTACTTTAAGAATCTGAAACTCAAGACCTTCTAGAGCATAAACATATTATCCTTTTGTTTTGCATTCGGTTGAAAATTCAAAAAGAAAAGGAAAAAGAAAATTAACAATCCATCTCTTCAGTAAACTTTTTCTTAATCTCGATGTAGCCATTCGAAGTAATTCCTTTAATTTTCCAAATTAAATTAAGAATTGGAGTGATATATTTATTTTCATTGTAAACCAGAAGGTCGTAGTGACTCAAGATAGTAGATTTTAATATCTTCGGATTCTCGACAAGTCTTTTCATTAAACAGTTAGAAATCGAGCACTGGAGAATTAGAAGATGTTCTGTCTGAATTCTAATAGCCAAACTGTCAATACGACTTAATGGACTCGCTAGCTAACTTTAAGCCAATTTCCGGCTCGTCTCTTGAGGATAACGTGGATTAGACCATTCCGTAAGAGAAATGAACTGGATTAGAACGCACTATTGGAGATAAGACAAGGATTAGAGCAGATCTCAACAGAATAAATTGTCTGCTTACATCCCCCTTAAGTTCTAGTGTAGGCGAGGATTGAATCAGCTTCGCTTTGTCAAGGTAGTATGCTACCGGGAGTACTAGTTGACTTAACATAGCACGAGTACTCACGATTCGATCTTTAGCACGTTTTACACAAATCCATGTTCGCAATGTCAAGGTAATTCAAACTTTGCCTTCTACCTCGATATCATTCTGCAATTTTCTTTTATCACGAAAGATTGTAAATGGGGCGATTTGACTGGATTGTATGCTAGGGAACACAACCAATCAGAGCCCTCGTCGGAAAGACTATGAACTATATGGCTGCGCGTGAAGCTGTTAATTCACGTCTGCGTTGTGAACTTCTGTTTTGATTAACAGACGAAATTTTTTTTTTTCTATATGCCAAGAAAATTCAAGAAAAGTACCTAAAGATGTAAAGGTATTAGACGGAGTTCGTGTGAAGATATATTTGTAACTGTCAAAGGAATTGCTAACGTTCGATCAGTAAGTACCATAATAATTACAGTCACTGGCACTCCGGGTAGCGTCTACGAAACAAGAAAAAACCTTAACAGATAAAAAAAACTTTTAAAATTTTAAAGTTGCCTTCAAGGGATTTGAAAGTAGATCTCAATTCAAATTGAAAAATCGACTGAAAATGTTTTATTATAAATCACATTGAAAGATAAATCATATCTTGGAGAATGAAATTGAAATCATTCTCGAGTTAAATCTATAAAATGTCTACAGCAAAAATGGAAATTGGATGAAACATTTTCAATGCAAAGTTTCCATATCTTATTCTTGTAATACCGTAGCCCATTTTGAACAGATTTGCACAAGCCCGAACGTTGGCGCAATGAAAAAATTAAAAAAAAATTATTGTAAATGCATAATCCAACATGCCTCCAACCAAAATATAATGTTGTGAAAAAATGTTTGAAACTTCAATAAAAATTTCATTAGCTTTAAGATTAATCCTTAGCCTAATTCCAATTTTTGCAAATTTTTCATTCCAAATGAAAATCGTCATTCTTCACTCATTTTTCCTTCGTTAGTTCGTTCATAGTTTACTTATAAAGCCACAATTTCTTTCAACTGTCTATTGTAAATTTGTAATTTTATTTCAATAATACTGTAGAGCGATAGTGCTATAGCTAGGACGGCAGCCATGATGTAAACTTTCGTCTCTACACACAGGAAGTAGCTGTAACCAAAGGCAACGGCACATCCAGTAGCATGGAACATCCGGTATGAAGAAAACGCAGCTTCCTGTTTGTGAGCAAAGAGAACACCGAACAAAGCTGGAAAGATAATAAAAAATGGAAATTAGTCTTATTGAAATAATTAAGTATAGAAATGGCGAAACCGTGTGGATTAGCTATTGTGAAGTATTGTAAATGGCTTAACGAAATAGTCAGGAAGGCTATTATACTATTGCCACATACTTAAAATACCAAGAAATTTGGAAATCATTTGTTCGATTATGGTTCCGCATTGCTTTTATCTTTTCATAGATTTAGTTAGATGTATCTGGTTACATAGATGAAGGGAATAAAGTTCAGAGGTATAAGATAGCAGTGTTTTGACGTTCAATTGAGATCCATTTTCACTTAATGGTTCCCGAAGTTGATGCAATCTGTCAACATCCAAGCATATTAGTCGTTTGGTTACCAAAAAGGCTAATGCGTTAGCAAAGTACATCAAACCGTTTAACGTTAAGTTCAATAATTCTAACATAACGGACAGGCAAATCACTGGACCCGGCATCAAGCCAAAGACCATTAACCTGAGAGCTAAATGACTTACTATATGTCTGTGTCTGCCAGATAGCATCACATAATCCCAAACATCCAGCAATTACATAGAAATTGGGGATATCAATAGGAAGAGGGCGCCATAACCATAAAACAATCAATAAACCAATATTAAAAATGGCTGCCGCTATAATGAAGGCAAATCGCTTGATATGTTTGGATATGAAGCCAATTACTAAGGAGGATATTGAACTAACTGTACCAAAACAAACCAATAAAGGACCAATACCATTGACTCCTAAAGTACAGTTTACATACGACTGAAATGTAGAAAATAAAAGTTATTTAAATAGATGTACAATGAATAGTTACCATTTTCAAAATGGCGTCTTTAATTCAATATGACTATTTTTTAAGTCAGAGAGGCCCACGATAATTCTTTTCATACTGTACAAACGAAGGTTACGAACGTTGTCTTTTCTCAGATATTCTAAATTCAAATATGCCAAGTGGGATAAGATTAGACTAAATGCTTTTAACTGCGCTACATTAAATTGGGTCGATCAAAAAAGATCTGTTGCACCAGAACCTGAATTCGAATTTCAATGCTAAAAATTGATAGAGCTTGCTGAAATTGATCTCTATATTAGATGTAAAATAAAATATTAAGCCTTTAAATCTTGGATGATAGTTTTTAGTGTTCGCTGTTGATTCTACTTGAGGTCGTGGCCCTCTAAAACGGACGCTTGTCAGGACCCCCACACCCCTGCCTCCCTTCTTCCATTTTCAAAACTCTCATCATTTTAAATAGAGCAACCCCCAAATTCTGTTGCCCCCACCAACCCAGCTTATGATAAGAGGCAAGAAAATTCTTTAGTCTCTACCAATCATTCCAAGTCAAAGTCAGGGGCTAATCTCGGTAATGGGGCTACAGTAATCAAGTCACAGAAGCAATCAGTGAGGCGTAAGAACATTACTCATAGATTAAACAAGATCTATGGTAAAAGTAAATAGTAATAAATTGTTCGACCAAATTTTCCAGTCTTGTTGATTGAACCTTGAGGGATCACGCTATTGATTCACTGCCCCCAATATGTTAGAGAATTTATACAAGGCAATTCATTCTGTGTAAAGATTTATCTTAATAAAATCGATTTCGTCTCGACCAATTCCACTTTTCCTGTAGAAAACCATTTCATTCAATAAATTACTAGAGCAACCCACAAGAATGTATTTTTGGTTTGACAGTGTTATCACTCATAGTAATGTGTTATTTGAGGTTTTATTACATTTAAAGGATTTGCTTTCAGTAATAACATTAATTGGTATGGTAAAATCATACTTGGTATAGCTAGAGGAAAGAGCAAATAGCTGTCTTGGATGCGCTCAACTTAACATACTCGTTAAAGAAAGGGGCAAAGCAGAGCTACAAATGAACGTTAGGGTTAGGTTAGGACTATTCGAGAAATAAACATTAGGCCTACTCGAAAATACAAAACGGTTTATAAATATTTATATCTTTTAATATGTTATAGAAAATCTATATGTGTGTAACAAAAGAAAACATGTTTTTTTTTTTTCAAAATTGTGTGTTATTTTGTAGCGGGCGCATACTCTCGTTTTAAATTATAACATATACAAAATATACACAATCTTTTATATATGTTTACATGAAACACGAGATAAATTCTTAAGATTCCGTGCAAAATATTAAAGAACCGATTCGCAATTTCCGGAGGTTGATTAGGGCCATGAATATTTGTAAATAGTCGTCAGAAGTACAAAAATCGCATAATTCCTTCAAAAATATGTCAGACCAGAAATTTCTCTTTCTATTTCTATATATGGTGGATTATCAAGAAAAGACGAATCGTCTTGTAACTTTCAATCGCGGATAATTCTGTAAACAAATGGATTACACAGCTCAAAATCCCGTTTCTGAGACTAAGGTACGATTGGCCAAAGGAATGGCGAATCTGTCCCTTTAAGCGTTTTATTCCACGGAGATTAACTATTCTATATAAAGAATCATAGAATTTTCTTTTATTTCCTTTTGATATTTCTAGAACATGCTTATTGCTGTTATCTCGACGGTAATCTTTTGTTATCAGTTCCTATCAGAAAGATTATAGAACTCTAGCCTTTGTTTGATATAAACAACATGTTCTTGAAATGTCTATGAGCCATTGTTCGAGGCTATAAAGTATAATTAATACTTTTTTTTCGAATTATAATATAACTCAAAAATGTTCTCTGTAGCATAATCTATTCCACGGTGAGATACTGCACGTGCTTCCCCCACTATATACAATGTAAGGTCCGAGGCTAGCTTACTTGAACTGAGGGTACCAATAGGAACCAATGGGGGTGGGGGATAACTTCAGGTTTCACATGGAGGATTTGAGTTAAAGAAAAAAACTTGTTAGGGAACAAAACCATATTATAAAAATCATATTTTTCTGTCCCCCTCCCTTGTGCCCACATCGGCGTCGACACTGAATACGCACATTGTTCTGAAAGTTAAAGAGCTATTACCAGTAGAGAAAGCTTTAATTTTCTTGGAAAAAGGACAAGGCAATACCTACCCAGACATGGATTCTGAAAGTTATTTCGCGTGAACATTGTACTCTAGGTAATTATTGTTAAGCACCATAAAATTTTCAAACATTATGTAAAGTAGAAAGCTTTTATATTGTAATTTTCTAATAGAGTGATATAAAAGCTGATATCAAATAAGATACTTGACCGAATTTCTCAAATTGTTTATAATGTTTTATTCTAATGGCAACATTTCAAATTCTGAAAGAGAGAAAACCTGGCAAATTTTCTAATGAAATTTGACTTTACGCTGATCCCAAGAGTAATGACGTTCTTATACTTTCGTTTTTATTTTCGATTTTAATGGAAAAAGGAAAATGACTTTGGAAGCCACTTCGCTTATTCCATTCCATCAACGACTATTGACTTTATATTGGCAGTTTCGCTAATAACATTTCAATCAAAAACCTTTACAGATCCAAGTAGCACAATTTGAAGAGTGTATTTTTGGTAAAATCATATTAAAAACGAACTCTTCTTAATAAAAAACCTTTCTAGTTTGTTAGTTCCAAGTAAGCCTCGAGCGCAACTCTGACCTGACAACTCCATCAGCATTATTCAAGCTAATTACCAGAGAGACGATGATTTTTTCATCTTTGAGATAGGATATGCGCTCCCAAACCAAATTAAAAAGCAATAATGACTGTACACCATACACAGTTTGATAAGACGATATTTCAATATTCAGACCAACGATATTTACATTTGTCCTTCTATTATGTCCATAAGACTGGCACCGCCAGTGATTCTGTGCACTATAAACCTATAACTCTAGCCAGAATTGATCAGTACAATCATGTTGAAATAATTATCATAACATTCCATTTACAATTAGTTTGCACTTCCTCTAATAATACAAAACCTATATATAAACGTTGTGGAATTGTGCGTTGGATGCCCCGTGGCTTTTTAATTTATCTTTTATAGATAACATTGCCGTATCGATTTTCTTGAGAACTGAAGTCTGTATGATTATTTTCCAATAATACGTTTTCTATAATGGATGCATGCATCTTTAGTCTCATGGGTAAACAAATTGCTTTTACAGTGAACAGATCAGATGTTTTTATTTACACTATCGATGCTATTACGTGATATTTAAGGCTTCTACGATTGAAATGCCACTCCAATCTACAAGCAACTATTTTGATATCACTCGATAAATGGGGTCGGGGTGACTCAGCGAGATGACTTATCCATAGATCAGAGGTTTAATCCCAGAATGGGTCAAACAATGCCGTTCTCAACTGAGTTTTCCCATGTCTCTGATGCATATCGTTTGGGTGTGGAACAACAAACAGGGGACTCTTTTTATCAGGCTCGTAGATTATTCAGAGGGGCAATGGTGTATGATGTTTAGTTGCAGTAATGGAATTGGTCGGTTGTCAGAATTTATTTCTTTAACGGTAGGGGGGGGGGGGGGGGTCCTTTTTGTTAGAGGGTGCATAGTCCTTACCCCCAGTAGCTATGGTCCTGCTTTTAGTAAAGATGCTTGGAACAATCAGATATCGGATAAGATAAACTATTGTTGCTGCCAAGCCAAAATTGCGCATTGTTGCGTAGTCTAACCTCATTAGCCCAGAAAGAAAGAATGAGGTGCCCGTGTAATCTTTCTATCAGCCATTCCTTAGCCCAACCTCTTGGCATTGATATTTCCCGGATTAACCATTCACATCTACAGATCGACTACAGAAGTATGAACAAAAAATGCAACTTTTTAACTTAGTCAAAAAGAGTCTTTTTTCAGCAATAGACTTACCTGGTATCAAAACATTTAATGCAATAAATATTATCTTAATATCGTCTTATATAGAGAAACTATTTTTTAGTCATGGCAACTGTTAAGTCCAACTGATGAATATATACACTGGTTGATCAAGTTTGAGACTTTAAATTTTATGTCCGTTCTAAGAGGTAGTATTCCATTAATTAAGCAACGGTATGAGTATTATAAAGATGATTGAAATAGACAATGACAAGAAAACTCATTATCATTCCTTTAAAATTACATGTTTGTATATTCTAGTCCAATATTTTAAATTCTTATTTCATGCAGTTATTTTGAGGAAGGAAAACGCATTAACCCATTTTTAAACGACAACAAACATATAAAATTACTCTATATTTTATGTATCATTCGCAATGCTGTAAATTTATATATGACAATATGATTATCTTTACATATAGATGAGAATTTTAAAATTGATTTGTTGGCATTCCCAAGATAAGTAAGAAAACTTATTGCAGTTATAACATTTAGTACAATAGTCAACAGGTACTGCGAGATTATTATTTAAAGGGACAGATTGGCCATTTTCGGGCGTTGATTTGAATATTTGTGAACAGTCTTCAGAATTACTACATATAAACGGAAATCGCATAATTCCTTCAAAAAGACCTCAAACTAGAATTGTCACTTTCTATTTCTATGTAGGTCTTTATGACAGAGTCTCAAGAAAAGGCGAGTCATCATGCTAACTTTCATATACGGATAAATCTGGACAAACGTGGATTTGAAGGCTGAAATGTCTGTGAACACTATTACTGATAAGTTAAGCTGAAAAATTCCCGTTTCTGAGACTTCTGGTCAATCTGCTGGCGAACCTGTCCCTTCATCGAATCACCATAGCGATTGTGATTAAATTCACCACAGTTATCACAACAGGGACTGCGAGCTACTATTACCACAATTGACAGTTAATTTACCATAAATAGGTCTGCTGCCACAGTAAGTTATTGTAGTTATCTTCATGTGATCAAGGTTACCCCAGGTATTACATAGGGGTTGTGAACAAATTTATAACAATAATTGTAGTTATCTTCATAGACTCTATAGGGACTGTTATCAAATTTACCACAAGTACAGTGGCGTTTCTATGAAGCATTAAGTGGAAGGGTCGAGTGGGGGCCACATAATTGTCGAGAGAGGGCAGAGGGGAAGGGCAATAGCACCTAGCATTTTAGAACTCAGTGGTTTGAAATTTGAAACTGGATGGGGGATGGGAAAACGCATTGCCAGCCAGTTTCCAACCCTCTTGGCTCCTATAGAACCTTATCACAATAAGGGTTGAGAGCAAATTTACCACAGTAATAACATTCGTCAGAAAAAAAGATTAAGAACCAATGTATCTCAATAACAGGTTGTAATCCTGCTTGAAGAAGGAATTTCAAAGAAATATATCAAGAATCAAAGACGTACGGAATTAAAGGAACGAAATGGGAATGTGAGTACTGATGAAGAGACAAACAACACGATACTGACAGTCTCATTATCCTCTATACTGACATAGAAACCTTTTAAATGTCTTTTATATGATTTCATATTGTCTACTCTTGTTCGACATTACAACATTAGCTTTCACCGTCTCTTTGTGTTAGTATAGGGTGAAGAAATCAAATGTTTTCTGAAAGACATTTTCTCTTGACAGCCCAGACGTCTGTCGTGAAATTGCTTCAAACAGTAAATAGATTTACATCATCTGATTCTAGATTTTTGCGGGTTTTGAAGTAAGGAAGATCAACGCGAAATGCAGTGTGCTTAGTTGTAACAGTGTCAAATCATTTGTAGGTGTATTTACCGTATTTATCGAAATAATAAAAGCCGATTTTTCATGACCTGTATAAAGGTTTAATTTCTTATTTCAATAGCACACAAGTCTCCATCGTGTCCAAACCACAACCCCATTCGTCATACTTTCTGAATAAGACCATGTTAAAACCCGTATTCCTGTTACGATGGCAAGTCTCATTTGTTTTTATAATTCCAACGCATTTGATTACATAATCGCTTTTCCCACGTAGCATCACCCATTAACATCATTAACGGCTGTATTGATCACCCTTCCCCTCTTCCCTCAGAAACAATACAAAAAGATTGTATGTTTAAAGGGACAAGTTCGCTATTTTTCCGTCTAGAATTGTCTGCGTTTTAAAGTTAAAATAGTGACTCGTCTTTCTTGAGATTCTGCCGTATATAGAAATTGCATAAAAGGAAATAGAAAGTGAAATCCTAGTTTGGCGTACTTTAGAAGAATTTAACGATTTGTGGATATTTCTGTAATTCTGAAGACTATTTACAAATATACAAGACCCAAATCAACCACCCAAAATGGCAAACCTGACTCTTTATGTTTATAATGAAAATTTGAAGATCACCGCACTATTTGATCGTAACTGAAGATTAAAAATCTAGAAAGTTATCGTTATGTCATTCTTATCTAAATACAAATGTATTAGCTATTTGCTTGGTTTAAATTGAAACTATATATGGAATAAAATAATCATTTCGACAAAAAATGCTTTGAAAACCCACTGCTGTAAACATCCTCTTCTAAAGAGTAATTGATCTTGTTGTACGAAAGTAATTGAATGGTTTTCGTCACCTTTAGTAATTGATAAGTTTAACCATACAATTGCATGAAGATGCTCTTAATGTCATTGTTGAAAAACGACAGTTTCTCGATATCCATTACATTATCCCTGATCTCGAGTTGACAAAGAAAATCAGTAGTAATGAAATTGTGGCAACTTGAAATATTCTGTAAGATTAGATAACAATGTTTGTCTATGGCCCTGGCTCAGGAAGAACCCACAAGCGCTCCAGAGGATACTTTGTAGGAAATTTTCGAACGCAGTCTTATTAAAACAAAAACGAAAGAAAGATAGAATTTACTAAAAACCAGCTTGTCATCGAACAATTCTCTTGGTATTGATCTTTCCCGGATTATCTGAAGAAGACAACTTTGGCAACGATATTTGGAAAAATTATTCCAATTATTATTTTTACTTCCCCCATGAAGGCACGGTGAGTGGTGGGTGTGGGGGAAATGGGTCCTTGGGCTACCAGACATCGAATATTCGTACATATAATAGACAAAACGAATGGACTGATTTATTTTGGGGAGGAATAGATTTGGATGAAGTTGGAGGAATTATCTCACTTGAGAAGCACTGATATATGCCCACAAAATAAGGCGTCGCTACTCAACGAGAGTTCTATCAGCTGAAGTAGCAAAATTGAAGGAAATGATCCCTGTAATAGCATCAAAACCAACAATCAGATTATAATTACAAGCTTCTTTATTTTGATTGATGCAGTATTTATTAACACTGATTGGCAATCAATACAAATCAATTTTGTCGTCTGGCAAATTCACTTGATTTGGCATTTGCCTAATAACTTATTAATGATATAATATTTGAAGATGCTTCAAGAATAATCACACACTTTCTTCTTGCATAAGTTATCAACTCTTAATTGTTCTTAACTTGAATCAGTCGGATCCTATAAACCAAAAACTGCGCACTTAATCCAAAAGAAAATTAGGTTATTTGCCCTTACCATCCAAAATCATGACTTCCCCCCCTTAAAAACTTATTTTCATGACCCTAATCTTTTGTGTCAGTTTCTGTTCCATCTCTAAGCAACCAATCCCTCTGCCACCTCAAACACAAACTATTGTCTTAATTTTATGAGAATTGAAACAGCAGCCTCAAAAGAGTACTGTCATTCTTAGAATGTCTTTGCATTAATACAAAATACAAACATGAGCTCACATTATGTCTTCAAAAGTTGTATTTACAGAGGATTTGTCACTTTTGGGGTTGAAATTTCTAGGAGAATTTTTTTTTATCAAGGCCAAGATATTCTAAGACTATCAGTACTATCTTTTTAGGTTGATATTCCAATTTTCAAAAATAATATCGAAAAAATTCAAAAAACGTTTTAATTTGCTCAGACAATAACATTGATGCTTTCAGTTGCAGGGTACTTTGGTTGACATATATTTCTATAGTCAGAAAACAAGCAGTAATAATTAACAGGGACCTATTAAACTCCATACGTAGACTAATATGAACGAGGGTTGTTCAATGTGTTAATGTTTAGAAGGAAATAGAAGCTCTATATTCAAGAAGATAATGTAAATATAATAAGAAGGCGTAAATCGCATCATTAAATATGTAAGACGTTAATAACTTCCCTTCTCCTTATTTTAATTACCTAATGTTTCATGCTTTATATAGAAAGTTAATTAACCTTTTTAACGCGCATATAGTAGATGGAATGATACGTTGTTTAAATTCATTAAGGACGCTCTGAGACTAATCAGACCTGCCTGAAACTGTTTAGAAAACATAACCTATACTCATTCAGAAAACATCGAAAGACACACAAACGCAGCATAATGGAAGAGTTTTATAAAATGTTAAAGGGACATAAGGGTCATCTTTTATTTGACCAATCATCCTTTAGTCTCAGAAACGGGAATTTTTTTTAAAGTAAGCCAATCAGTAATAGTGTTCACAGCTCATCATCGATATTTGAGCCTTCAAATCCACGTATATCCAGAATTATCTAGTTTTTAATGTTAAAATGCCGACTTTTCATTTTAAGATACCATATGATATACAGAAAAGACATATAGAAATAGTGAGTAAAATTCCTAGTTTGAATTATTTTTAAAGGAATTGTGCGATTTTCGTACATTTCTAGTACTTCTGAAGACTATTAATATATTTTCAAGTTTCAAACCAGCCCCCAAAATGCCACAGCTGTCCTCTAATAGTAATGGTGTAAAAGGCATTACATACATGTACACATATTATAGTAGTATGAGAATAAACTGAATGAAAAACACGGTAATTCAAAAGCCCATAATGTTATGAATGAGAACAATTTCAGTAGCTCAACCAGTAATTTTTTTAAACTTATGCTTACAGAGGGGTCTCAGAATTTAATGCTTGTTAATTGAAGATTTAAAGACTTTTAGTTAATGCTATTAATAGGGGTTGGGTCCCTGCGTCAACCGACGCCGGCATGCTAAAAGTGAAACTTTTTCAATGATAGTGCGATGGAATTTTTCACCCACTGTCGTCGTTCCGATCTGTGTGATCTGTGATTGAAATTCAGCAATCACCAGAAACAACGAGGCAATACAGTTCCCATGAAAAAAAGATACTAAATACACTATACATACCTTGGTAAAATCGCCGAACACAAAACCTTGTTCTAACCCAACAAATAATACCAATGGTATCAATAGCAAACATTTAGGATCCTTTAACATATTCAACGTGGATATCAACGTATCGGAGTTCGTTAGGTTCAATTCGGATTCAAAATCCGTTTTGACAATTTCAGTATTGTCCAGTAGAACACAGATTATAACTATTGCCATGATGCCACAAGCCAAGAATATTGTTAATAACATGTATTTGGTGGAATCTGGAACCACAATATCAAAATTTGACAATTCATTGGAATGGATATCACATTGACTAGCACCACAATGTCTGGTGTAGGTCGTATTGTCGAACAGATTGCCATAAGAAACGTTGGAGTGCAGAACCACAGTAGAAATGAGGTTCCCCCAAATTTGACTACTCCGGTAGCAGCCATAAAATAACCCCATGAACTTGTTTATCATTGAGTCACATTCGTCCATTTGCATATGTTTAGCATAGGTGATTGACAATGTTGTTATATAAGTTGCCTGGGCACTCCATAAAGGACCAGCCATCAATCCCATTAAAATTCCAAAAGGTATAAGTACAAAATGCGAAGAGAAAAAATTGGCGCCAAAATAAGCAGTAATAACAGCGAAGGCTGCCACAATGGTCCATTTGGTGGTGATTTTGCTAATTAACCATGGTGCAAATAAACAGGAAATCACAGTACTGGTATATATACAACTTAAAGATACAAGTCCGATACCTGACGAATGAAGCACACTCTGTAGGCTTTGCAATGACACAAACGCCGTAAATATGAACATAAAGGCCACACTGAGGACCAAGGTGCTCTTGGTAGCTTTTTCATTCGTCATGTTTTTAACTGCAGCTAATGTTTTAGATTCATCTGGTAATGTGTGGTAGTTCAGGTTGGAGGGGCCGTTCGAGCTGCTCCGTCCACTGTGTCTGACATCTTCCCATGTCGGTGGGCCGGTGTATTCCGGACTGGACAATAATAAGAGATGGTCTTTCGATGGTGTGTTGTTACCAACCGGCATTCTGGATAGGATAAGATTTTCATCGGATCGATTTGACCTATCGAAGGTTGTAAATGCTGATAGTTTGGAATAACCTTATTTTACAATCTGAAAAGATAAAATAAATTAGTGTTACATTTGTTTACAATGAAATAAATAGTTGCATGACACACACACAGTTACCTAGTAAAGGTATTTTAAAAAATCTGTGTTTGCAATATACTTTCAGTAACGCCATTACTGGCGCAACTATAACTACCGAATCCCCGTGCACGCTAGCAGTACTATAATTAAAGAGTCTATTAATGCTATTCTGTCCCACTTTTCTGTCCAGAAACCTAAAATATTGCAATATTCTAGTCGTAATACTTGGTTTCACTTGCTTTGTCTCACGTATCACTAGCGCTTTTACTACCAATCATGGTATTTCTATGTCCAATTCTAGTTAGATTACGGTGCTATTCAGCACAGCGCCATGTTTTGTACTATCAAGATCTAGATAAGCAGTCTTCTTTTAGAGAAAGATCGATTCCATAAATTAATCAATGAAATATTAGTGAGCTGATCTCCAAAACACACATAACATTACTGACAGCAATATAATGTATTTGATGCTGAAATCTGTATATCGGCTTAGTACCGCGTTGTGTACGATCAAGCCCCGAAACACATAATTTGGGGAAAGTTCTCTCTCTCGAAAGTTCGATTTAATAATTTGAACAATTAAGTATTTTGACGAGCTGATCATCAAAACACACATTAGAATATTGATAGCAACAGAATGTACATGGTTATGAAATCTGTATTTTGGTACAGTACCCTGATAATATGTGCGATCAAGAAAAGCAACAAAATTGGCAGAAAGTCTTCTAACCCGAGAGCGTTCGATTAGATAACTTGAACAATGAAGTAACATTATATCAGCAAGCTAAACACCAAAAAATACAGAAGAATTTCGACAGCACTTAATCTGAAATCTTAAGAAAAAAAGGAAGTCCTCTATCTGGAGAATGGTCAATTCTATAATTGATGTAGTTGATAAGCTCACTGATCACCAAAATACACAAAAACATATTGACAGCAACAGAATGTACTCGATGCTAGAATCTGAATAATGTCCTACATTAACCTCATCAAAATACATGCTAATGGTGATTTAGTGGTGGTCGAGATTTATTACAGACCGAGTACAGTGTGGCTAAAATCAGTGTAAATTGCTCTGTAGGGAATATTGACTGGAGATATGAATTGTCAATAGGAATACTAAATCAAGTCATGCTATGTAATGAAGAGCAGATTAGTGCTTGATTAATATCTCCTATGAATAAGTTCCACTCCTTAATCTATTGATTGGTGAAATATGGTATGTCTCGTTTCGAGAATACACCTAGAACTAAGATAGTTTCGAGAATACGGCGTTTGAAGTGCCAGACTGAATTGGAATCGGCAGCCTATTTCTTAACGACATTTGTTGTTTGTTCTATAGTTACCAGAGTTATCAAAGGATATTTAAAAATCTGTTCATTAAAAACGAATACAAAAAAATAAATGTCCATAACATTGTGGTTGTCAGGAACAGAATTGAGATCTGTGGTGTTAATCACAATAACTCTAATGACAGTTGCTCTAAAAGCCAATTAGATAATGCATGTTACGAAGTTTCCGACAGGCACCTGATTTCATATCAACCATCACGATATATCTCTATATTTTCTGCTGTTTCTGATAGTCTCGAAATCATTATGTCATTAATTAGTTAATTACTGTTGATGAGGATGAATCTTATCTAAAACAAGAAAAGAAAGAAACATCCCACATTTTACGAAAAGATCAACTTCATGATTAGAGGATCCTGTTCACCACTTGATCTTTTGTTAAACCTCTTGACATTAATCTTGGATCTTGTTGGATTATCCGTACTCATTTACACCAGGGTCGATTGGAATGATGAAGAAAGATTACTTATTCAAGGTCACCAGACTTTCACACGTCGATCAAGATTAGAACCCACGACAAAAACACATACATTATAGAAATATTAAAAGAGAACTTGAATTATGTTGTTACTCAGTTTCACGCTCATTAAGAGATTATGTATATTATTTGAAAAAATTGCATTTCAATATATGCATTGATATAAGTATTTGTTTATAGCCGTAAGTCGAGGATCACGTAAAATTATAAGTTGTAAACATGAGTTCAAGGTCAGGTTTTATAGTAATATTATTCATTACACAGTGTTTATTATTTATTAGTGTATATTATAAAATGTTAAGAATCTTTTACATTGAACTTCATAAGGAATTGTAAAGAGGTTTTCTAAAAAATCGCAAAATATTCTGTATCATATAAGGCCCTTCGCGCTTAGTGACGTTTAGCACTTAGTTTTGGTGGAATTACAGGAACCACAGAAATCTGATTGAAAATTAGAATGGTATAAATAGATGCTGTCAGTGTCCCCGATACACATACAAATTTAGAAAACCTCTTTACTATTCCTTTAAGTAAAGTTATTACCTTTGCAAAAAAAAATCTGTTTGTTTCTAGTTCAAAAGTGGCATTTCTATGCATCATAAGGTCAAGGGGCCAAGTAGGGGTCACATAATTGTCTAGTTTAGAACAAAGTACAAGGCCTTTAGGAAGTCGATGATAAGAAATTTGAAAATGGGGTACGGAACGTCACTGTTTCTCAGAGCTGCATTTGAATGAAACTTATGACAACATTGGTTTCTGATTATGAATATGGCATAGTGAAATATGAGAAACTTTAGAGCCAATAAATAGTGTTATATGAAGTTTTATGAATGGAATATTGGTATAATGTAGTGTGTATTATCAGATTGATTAAAGATTGTGGCGGTATTATATGATCATATTGACAGTATTATAACATTTGATCAATATTGTATCGAACCAAAATCGTAATCTAGATTTAAAGGGGTCACTCAGTATCACAAATACAAAAATGAACCAAAAGGAACAATATAGTTCTACATTTTTGGCTTTTTGTCTTGATTTCCATTCAGCTGTAGCATCAATTTTCCCGATGATCTCCATTGACAATTGATCGTGTTGATCATGGAAAAATTCACAATCTAATAGGATCATCGTGATTAGTAAACGATTAAGATCACGATTACAATCGCACATGCGAATCTTGATAGTGGGAACATAGAATAAAAAATCAAGAAAAAGTGAACACCGTGGTTAGTCGGGCTGTAGCAGATGTATACATGTCGGGGTCCATTCGTAACGCAAATCGGAGCACCCTCAATCATGATCGCGAAAGATATGGTTCCATAACCCCATACTATCATAACGGAGCTCATCAGGTATTGATGAACGCCTCTGAACGTATCTTTATTAGATAGTCATGATTTTGGGAAAACCGATCGTTTCGATTGTGTCAAATCGAGATCCATTCGGAACAACAAACCAAAAATCATACCTGTTACATTGAGAATTGACAACTCGAGATCAGATCTTGTACGAGCGCAAAAAATGGTTTCGAAAGTTGGAATTTAATAGAAATGCCAGATGAACAATGGCGGTACAAACAGGGGGCAGACTGACGTAATGGGGAGACAACTGTTGAGGCTGAATTCAAAAATGCGGCATCTTCATGTAGACGTCATAGTCGCAGGCCTCTCATAGAGCGTCTGAGATGGTTTTCCCAAGAAAATTGTCGAAAATTAAATTGATTTGGTGCATATTTTGGGGCAAAAACGGATGGAAATAGTTTTTTTTTCTAATTTGTTAAAACTATAGTGGGGGTACAATTGGGGGTTTACACTGACATGGTGCCAGAGGGGATACAAGAAAAATGGTGTATACCTCTGCAGAAAAATTGTGATAATGTTTTCAAAATGTGCTTAGAATAATGTGGATTAGATGTCCTTGAACAAAACTAGACTACAAAGCTCCTTTAAACCACCTCATGTACTATATAATGAATATAATAATACTTTTATCGGTTTTTCGATCAATTGAACCATTATTGATGTATATTTATTGACTTATTTCTATCAGTTCCATGTATAGTTTGAACTTAACACCTTCAAGAAAATCAATATACCAAACAAGATATCTCTGGTGTCTTGTTTAATCATTAATTGAACAATTCTATATTTTGCGTTCCGATTTTGCTTAAGGTTTCTCATTTTAATGAACCATATAAAAATCCGAAGATAATAAAACCGACACAAAAACTCAAATTTCGTTTCAGTTCTTTATTTGAAATATAAATGTTGTCTGTTAATGGAATTAAAATTGCTTTAAGGGAAACTGCAGTTCAATTTTAAAATTTTGATCCGTGTATTGGTCGAAATTGATTTCAGATGAATCAAGCGCCTTAAGATGAGTCATTAGCTTTTGAATGAAAGTCATTGTCCATATACCGACGTTTTAATGATGTGCAATGTTTATCTAAGAAAATTACTTTAATAATATCTTACGTGTCTATTGTAATTAATTTTAAAAAAATGAATCGCCTAATTGACTGTATGTTTATGACTCAGTCTGTATGATTCAGTTTTTAATGATGAATATTTCTTTGAATAAAAATGATGTATAAAATGATAAGAGCTTACTTGAAAATGTGCTATTCGGTGTGCTTATTATTTCTTAATAAAAATCGCCATATATAATGTGAATTCGAGAATTCAAAAGAGGTGTTCTTCCTTTTTTGTAAGTTGACCTATCGGCCGAATGAAACAAAAATTAGCGGACAGTGGAATTTCTTTTCAAGCGAAACTTAAATTTATAAATAATTGACATCTTTATTATAGATTTGAAAACTTTTCTCTATCATCGACCTTATCTTATCGTAAGGAAAATTGATAATCCAGATTACAGAGAAATTCTTTTCACAGAATAATGATTCCGAGGGTCCATCCTTGTGAATGAAATTTAAACATCGTCGTATTACCAGGGGTTTTCAACCATTTTCTTTCTATTACACCTTTCAGGATCCTTAATAGATTTCATTACCTCATCACCCTATAAATTCTTACTATTACAGCAATCCCCCCCCCCCCCTCCGAGATTGAGAATCCGTATCTATAGACAGACTCAGTATGAGATAGACGTTTTTTGAATTATGATATTGTGATATGCCTACTGCTCTATCATTTGGAATTCGGCAACTCCCGCCACAATACTTACTATGCATACATTCAATAAGATTTTTAGAGTTGGCCTCGGGAATGTAAATATATAACAGAATTATTTTATTGTCATTCTTGTCCATTAGCAGAGTCAATGGTCAATTCTTTTTTCTCCTATGATTATTCCACGCTACATAGGAAAAATTGATTGCCCCCTGAAACAATGCAACCGACCAATTCCATTACTGCAACTAAACACATAACATCATGGCCCCTGTGGATATTTTATTTGCCCCTCTGGATAGTCAAGTCTGGCTGGGCCTAGATTATTCACTGAAAGATCCTTGAAAATATCTACAATACCACCCGAAGGTCAATGTGGGCGTAATGAATGCTTTACATCCGACGAAGCTTCTTCTTGAATAAAGCTCTCATTAACTATTTTTTTCATATTTGTATTGTGGGCGACCGATCGCTTTACATTCTCATCTTATCTGTTTGAAGTTATTTTGAGATTCTCCTTAAATCCTATAACACGATTATAAAATACAGAATAAAAAGTTTTTAGCCTCGAGCTGTTATCATCTAGTAGAAATTGTGATATTTTTTTTACTGTTTTCAAGGCTATTCTGATCTTTTATATATATCATACGATTCTTGACAATGGTTAAAGGAAAAAGATAGCCATTTTGGGGGGTTGATTTGTGCCTTGAATATAAGTTAATAGTCGTCAGAAGTACTAGCAATGTATAAATTTCATTTTCTATTTCTATATTTGTTCTTTCTATATCGTCTCAAGTAAAGGCGAGTCGTCATTTTAACTCTTAAACGCGGATAATTCTGGACACACATGGATTGGAAGGCTCAAATTTCGACAGTGAACTATGAAGACTATAACTGATTAGCCTGGCTAAAATTAAATAATACTGTTTCTGAGGCTTTATAAGGTACGATTTGTCAAGCTGTCCCTTTAAAAATATGCAATGATATCCTTTAAACATTGAACAGCACAAATTTTAAATAATCATTTGGAATGACTTTTTGTGCTTTAACACTCGACAAAGCATTGAAATTACTAACACATAAAATGACATTGGATATCGAGTTAATTGAGTAAAAGAGTTCTTTGTGGTTATTTTCATCGACTATATTTATGTTCTTTCCGACGCGACAGAGCATGACAATTTCTCATATATGCATATATTATGATATTGGTTTTTTATAATTATGGTTTTGATCCTTATACGTAATCAGGAGGCAAACACATGTAAATGAATAAACTTGTCTATAAAAAAGCAAATTTTGTTTGAAGGGGCAGTCTGTTTTTAAGTAGGATGGGAAAATGAAGTGTTAAAATTAAAACTCTAGACCAATGTCCAGAAAAAAATGTACCTCCTTACCTTTAACTTAAAGTATCCCGCCGCTAATGTTTTAGAACGCCAAAACTATTTAAAAGGCTTACGTAATGGGCATTTTGTAACTGCCTTTTTAACGTGAGAATTAACAGTTGATTATTACAGTAAATAGATACAGAAGAAGCATCTCCAAAATAACTCAAAAAAGAAAGTAAGCCATAATTTGTATTTCCTATAAATATTTTCGTGTTTGATAATAACGACATTGTCGAGTAGATTTCATTAGAGAATAATAGGACTATATGAACATATTGTAGTTTGTTTGAATTTCTACTAAATAAACTATAGAGTCTCATTGATTTATTTAGATCAATACGGTATTAGTTAGAGAAACTACATTGCATGATTTCTCTAACTTATAATCCAATTGATTATCAGTGGCATATGCTAGGGGTGGGGTGCATGGGTACTTGTATCGGGCTGTTATTTTAGATTATATTTCACAGTCATGGTCCCGAAAATTTAAGACAGGAGGTCCTAGTCGACGCTATGGAGGTTTACCTTCTACTCTTTTTCGTAACTTAAAGGGACAAGTGTGCCATTTTGGGGCGTTGATTTTTAGTCTTGAATATATAGTCTAATGTGTTACTTGTGAAGTCCACATACACCCATCTCGGTTCAGAAAATATGCCAAAGGATTAGTCAGAGATTTGCATTTGGTCTTTCTACGACGAATATTGGGCTATAAAAGACTGTCAACATCTTGCAATTTGCAATGAAGCAAATTGTGGCACAAGTCTTCTGTTTAATGATTAAAAACTTTTATCATGTCAATTCCTTTGACAGCACCACTGGCACAACCATCTTAACCTATATCGGAATGAACTCTGAACCTTCATGTCAGAGAACAAACCTCTTACTCACTAGGCCACCTTCCCCGAACTTTATCACAGAAAGTGCGAAACCTGGTTGAAAAATCCAACAGTGGCTCAACTTTACTGGACTTAATGGGTTGGGCCACTCTCCCAGCAATTCAGCAATTTTTCTGAGGGTGTGGACACCCTAGGGGAGGGGGGCCGTGGATTCGGTTCAACCAGTCCCTGTGGTAGTTGAAACACTGAACCCCCAATAAAAGGAACTATCTCGGCATTAAGACATTGAAACCAGAACTTCAGAGAACGTAAACAAGTTACCAGATACCATCGTCCATCCAATCTTATTTATCATTTGTAGAAGCAGTAATTATATTTTGATTAGACTTAACTCTACATCTAGGATCTAAATAGATTTTAAAATGAATAAATTGTTTATATTATTATCTATATCGTGATTGCGTTCGTATAAACAATTTGATAAACAGACGGTTTTAAAAAGCAGGCCTTATCAACATGACTTACTAACAGGCATAAATTATACAGAATTTCATTTACAAATACTTCATTATGATTGATATGACTGATCTAATTGGTGCATCAAAGGTGTTGGATCCAGTTGGATCCTGGCCCTTGATACAGTCGACTCATATTTTCGTCACTATTTTTTATTGGTTGCTTTAATTTTTTATTGGTTGCTTTACTTTTTTATTGGTTGCTTTATTAAATCTCGATCAATTACAAAACAAAATATCACGCGAAAGTCTTTCGGAGAGTCTTTTTGCAGCTGATTGAGCTCTTGAAGACGCACAATGCCGTTAGAGTTTGCAATAAGGGAAATTTTACCAGAGGAGCGGCATTGTCTACATTTTTTCGTATCAATGCATACACATCCTGTAGGACACGAGATATCGGTTTGTGGTCTCATCCGAAAAACGACATTATTCTGAAGAGATCAAAGGTACAGGGTGTCGCCTGACTCGCACACACTATATCAATATATGGTAAATAACTAAAATAACTAGATCGAGAACATAGTTTTCAGTTTGCGATGAAATGAATGCTTGAAACTTTCCAATTCTCAAAGGATGAGTAAATAAAATTAGAATCATGAATGAATAAAGGATTTTCAGACAGCTGATGAATAATTCAGTAACATTTTTTACTCTTCTTTCCAAACGACTGTGAATTCATCTGCTATTGGAGGCGTCGTTCAAATCGATGCTTCAACACTGATTTTAGTCTTGAATTTATGTAAATAAACTTCAAAAGTACTAGAAATGTACGAAAATCACATAAATTGTTCAAAAATACTTGAAACTAGGAATTTTCCTCATTATTCCTGTGTATTTTTTTTTACTATATATTATAGAGTATCTTAAATTGACTAGTGGTCATTTCAATATTAAAACGCAGATAATTCTGGACACACATAATTTAAAGGCTCAGATTTCGACGGTGAACTGTGAATACTATTACTGATTAACTTAGCCACAAAAAACAGTTCCTGAGACTAAAGTATGAATTGGTGAAAAAAAATGACCTACTTGTCCCTTTAAAAAGATTTCCCCGTGTCTGAAACTGATTTCACTTTGGTTACAACTGATTAACATTTGAAACTGATTTCATAATGGTTTTCTTGTATTTGAAAACTGATTTCACTGTGCTAACAACTTATATCAACATTCGAATAAAAGGCGTAGGAGAGACCGAAAAAATATCGGGCAACAACCCGAAAACACAGGTAAACCGAGAAAAAAACGTAAAATTCGTGGGAAAATTTCGGGCAAACCAGCCAGCCTTCGACAGCAAGTAATTAAAAAGGGGTAGGCTAATGCTGCCATCTTGACAAGTATTCTTTCATGGCTTAATAAGTACGTGGGGTTGCTCGTCTTCATCACCTAAACAGGAGCAGAACATAGGACGTAAAACTCCCTTAAAACAGAAAGTATTCATGTATGAGTTTTTCTTATTATCTATAAAATACTATAATCACAAGTCTTAATATCTTTTGTATAGTAGAAATTTCCAGACGTGACCATTGACTGTCCATGAATAATACTGTTATTAATGTTAAACATTCTTTATTAGCCTTTAACATATCTGTTACAAACGCCAGTATCTTATAGTTATTGTTAGAAATGCCTTTACAATGATTGCTGGTGTGGCACCAGGCGGTGTATACTTACTCTTTTCAAGACACCTAAAATCACTTTTCATTGTGAAATATTTCCCCTTTTATGACTGGTATATTATTTCCTCATATGAACAGTTCAATGGCTGCTACCAATTTGCCTGACCTTTATTTTAGTTTTCGTGATTCGCTTCGGATTGTTGGTACCTGTTTTCTTTTTCCTTTTTTTCCTCTTTCCTTATTTCGCACTTAAAAACCTCTGCGCTATTGTGCTAAGAACTTATATTGATAAACTATGTTTATATTAAATCGATCTTTGCAAACGCAAACAAGTCAATATGTGCTCTTATCATAAAAGCAAATACTGTATTTACTGAGGTGAAGTTGATCCTTATCAAGACTTAATACATCTCTACAATTTCGTTTCTCAGTCAGACGCGTTTGATTTATCTGAAAATTCTACTAATGTAATTACGGCTATGGCAAATCGTACAATCTGAATGAGCGTTAAACAAATATACTGAATAAAATACTAGACCAAATATTTGAGATAACAAAGAGATAACAAGGTGCTTTAAGAATGGTTAGATGCTAAACACGGACTCACAACTCGGTTAAATTAGGCATTATTTTTACAACAGATATAGGCTTACCTTGTAACCAATTGCAAAAAATAAGAAATCGCCTAACAATGTGAATAGAAACCAAAGTCTACGAAGTGCCTTTAATGAGTAAGAATTCCCTGTTTCAACTACAGCATTAAATTGTTTAGTGGCCAAACACACATCAAATCTTATAACTCACCTCAAAAGTGCAGCAGAAAAGCATAAGAAATATCCAGCTGTTTGCGACTACAGCATTAAAATCGTTTAGTGCCTTAAAACTGAAAACCCTTGATAGAAGCAAAACGCTTCAGAATTCCCTGTTACATTTACAGAAATAAGACCACTTAGTAGCTTAACATACACAAACTCTAGTAACTCAAACAATAAGTAAAATACCATTGGCTTAGCGCACACAAAATCTCATACCAAAACTCAAATCATTTGAAACTGCATCCAAAGATCAAAAAAAAAAGAAGTACCTGTTAAGCAAAAATAGCATTCCATAGAATCATAAAATTCATGACATGCCTTTAATGGGCGAATTTGAATCTCAAAATGAGTTTGTTTTGTGCAACTACTTCACAAGGTAAAAAGGATGTTTTAAAGATAAAAGTGTACCTTGTTATAAGATAAGTATTTTTCTTACCTTTATTATGTAACATGTAATCCAAGCTACTGAGACAAGCGATAGAAAACAATAGAAGAACTGTAACACTCTGACCGTACTCTCCAGCTATATACGATACTGAATGATGAATGGCACGACTCGCACTATATACTGAACACAAATAGAAACCATTCTTTATCAATAAGACAGGTTTCACATGGGAACAAAATTGATAGCAGTTACGGCAATGAATTACCAGCATAAAACCGTCATAAAGCTCTCAAAATCCGTTAAGATATCCATGTTACAAAATCCATGTTCAGACAATACTTCAACAAAAAGGGTGTCAACTTGGTCAATCCTGGCGTTCCGAAAAGAGTGCACATATCCTGCGCCGAACACAAATATCGAATTCAGGAAATGCGTACAAATTAAATACACATGTATACACAAATGTAAAATTAGCTACTTAAAGTGGCTGGAATGTGTTTGCTGTGAAAGACGTTTGCAAAACACGAAAATTTGGTTTTAATGTCCATATTAAAGACAAATTATAACCAAAAAGTTCTTAATTAGGCTGTTACGGGTTGGCATTTTGAACATATCATTTTCTTCTAAGTGCATATCATACAAGAACATTTTTGCGCAAATAGCTTCAAAGACACCAAAAATCTCCACTTTTTTCAAATTATTCATACAAGTGTGAACAATGAACATTGGTTTTACAACAATAGTATACCAAAGGACAAAATAATTTGAACAAAATAAACACTTTCGTGAAAATTTGAAGTAAAATAAAACTTACCTTGCATGAGTATGGATATGCCGAGACAAAAAGTTTAAAAAGATCTAATGGAGAATAAATAAGAGTAAACATATACTTGACGTTTGTTAACAATCCTGTATAAATCAAAGAGAGAAATCGACTATACAGAGGTAAACTCGTGAAACTTCAATAAATATTGTAAACAAGAATGCCAGTCAACCAATAAAACGTCTGTGCCATCAAATCAGTAAGCTTAGAGTGAAATACTGATGGGATCTTTGATTAGTTGTAGTTTCATATCATTAGTTACAATACAGAAATCAACCAATTATCTTATTAAAGGAAACCTTTCCTGTAATGTGTAACAATACTAAAAACAACCAATTATCGTGTTAAGGGAAACCTTTCCCGTAACATGTATCATTGGAGTTACATATCATTAGTTACAATACAGATAACAACCAATTATTTTGTTAAAGGAAACCTTTCCTGTAGCATGTTATATCAAAAGGGTTCATAAGATATATAAAATTGGTAATCATGAAGGGGGTGTGATTAATAAAAAAAATAACATCATTAGACCGACACTGCGAAAAGAAACTTGTATGATTACAATGGAGAAGTGAAAATAATCTTCTTTAAATCATATTGGTGCTCGAGGGACTACTCATGAAAGTCGTTGCTTCAGAATGTCACGAGGAGAGTCGATTTCGCAACACCATAATATATACCTTGTTTTAAAAGCTACTCTGATTGTCTCAGTTTAATGTCTGCATATTGATAATGAAGTCATGTCGAATTGGTGACTGGCTTTGGGTTTTTTATTTGCTGGCTATTATGTATCGAAGGATTGGTTGTAGACGGTTACTCGTAATTCATTATTGGTGTGATGTTCATTGACATGTTTATTAGTCAGTTGTCTGACTGGTTTTATCGCAAAATCTTACACTAATATTCGTTGGTTTTCAATTAAAAATTTTGTATTAAATGAAATGTCGTCGTTCAAATTTTTCCCTTAAAGAGACAGATGCGCCATTGTTTTTTTTTTTTTCTTTTTGACCAATAGTACCTTATTCTCAGAAACGGGGAATTTTTTAGCTGAGCCAATCAGTAAAAGTGTTCACAGCTCAGCATCAAATTTAGGCCTTTAAATCCTCGTGTCCAGGATCATGAATGTTAAAATGACGAGTCGTTTTTACTTTAAGATACTCTGTGATATATAGAAAAGACATAATATAGAAATAGTTAGTACAATTTCTAGTTTGAAATATCTTTAACGGAATTATGCGATTTCCGTACATTTCGAGTACTTCTGAAAACTATTTAGACCTACATATTTATGTTCAACACTCAAAATCAACCCCCCAAAATGGTGCACCGTCCCTTTAATAAGTAGAATCAAATAATTCCAGAATGAACAACTCAGTAATAATTAAATAAAAATAAGATTGAAATCTTATCAATGTAATCATCATATCGTATCTGTTTTAGATAAAATTTCTTCAATTCCGTCAGTTTAATCAGTCCGGTCGGTTTGTATTTAATTGTTGATGAAACGGTTACTCGATTTATCTTGCCCTGCTCGTTCCTCTGACGGATAGGATATTATGGCCAGACATATAATATTAATTTAATGGAAGTTGTTCCGATTTCTGTCGCTTGTTTTTGAGAGTCTTCACCATAACAAAAAGCCAAGTTTTTATAATGCCCTTATGTCCCAATGCCCCGTGTACCATAATACAGTCGAGGGACAGGCTTAACTTACAGAATTGTATGAATTACAGTCCCTTCCCCGAGGATATAGGACCGCTAAGGTCCTGTTTCATGACCTACTGCATGAAGACATGAAATCTTATGCCAGCGTACAAAAAATGAAATTTGTTCATAGATAGTGGTTACAGCTTGGTTTCTCATTTAGACTACAAACTTTTGCTGTACGTGTCTGCAATAAAAGGACCAAACATCAAAGTCTGCCTCTCCTGGCTCCGTCACATCAGAATAGCATTGTTGTTACAGCGCTGCTACTGATAAATTAAAAAATTGTGTGTTAAGGTCGCCATTGTCGCCACTATTCACCCAGTCACGGGAGGGCCTACACACCCGGCAGACACGCTGCAAAAGGGTTAAAACGCAATATGGTCGCACAAATCGCGGTTAAAGTCAACTGTGTTTTATTTTAAGTTAGTAGTTTTTAAGGAAATATTGCTCTAAGATCGCAAATAGTCAAAGTCCGGTGTGACAGAGCAATTAAGCGAAGTTTATATCATTTGGAGCTGGCCTCGTATGTAGTGCTACAGATCGTACTTTGCAGTTATAGTGACATTCCAAGTTCTGAAAAGATAGAATCTTGTTCTATATTGGTTAAAAAAATGTTCTACTTCAGGAATCTCAAAAGCACATTACGTGCCAATGTACAAAAAAGGAAACTGACATTCAAGTATCATTATTATGAAAATATTAGCTTTTTAAATGACACGAACGGTGATGAAAAAGCTTTTAGCTTGAGTGTTTTCTATTGATTTCATTGTGAGAGGCCTTCTAAATTTAGTCTTGTACTTCCATAGAGGTCCAAATTCTGTCAATAGACGCAAGATTTATTCTTTTTGAATAGAATGATTTTCTATCTATCTGACCAAAAAAAAAAACTTCAATCACCAAGTACAGCTATAGGTAAAGCGGACACGACATTTCGTATATATTTGATTTCTGTAAGCATATACCCCTAGGCCTATAGATTCTAAAATTAATAAGCATGCATGTTTAAACCGAAACTTCTTATCATATAGATAGATGGACCATGATTCACTTTATATAAATAGTTTCGTATGATGCAGTGCATTTTACAAATTAAAACGACCTGTTTCATACGATAGGGGTTACCTTATAATATGAACGAGTTTCATGCATGTGTTCATATTTACACAATAAACTGTAAGTAGAAGCGTGTTAATTGGTCGAATTGGGAATCGCGTGAAATCATGAATAACGAGTTTGCCTACAAACACGGTAGAAACATGCAATAGTTTCAGAGGTGTTGAAGCGGCGATGCTGAGTCTGCAAGTGAAATATCCCACAGCTGTCACCGTTCTCATTTGATGATAAAGCATCTAATTGCGCTGTTAAGCGAGGTGGAAGTCTATTACTATACATAAAAAAAATCAACATTCTGAAAAATATATAGCCTACGCTACCAAAATCACTGCTAAGATCACTCTCACAACAAAACTTTGACAATTTTGGAAATTGGCTTCTCGCATGTTTCAAGATTATATTGCCGTCACCCAATTTTTTTTATACACATTCAACAACTTCTTAGGAATAATAAGCATAATATAGGAATGTATTGAATCAAGCTTAAAGCTAGTTGCTATGGGTAAAAACTTGAAAAAGCAGCTTTGAATTTATGACTCTCTAAAATTGTTGTGGTCTGGAGTATGCCTAACTGTAGTTACGTCCCTTTGACCATCTTTTCTAAATTTATTTATGTCAGCGTGAACAAAAGTTAAGTTGAATAAAAATCGTAATTATTACCATTCTAAACCCTGAAGATTGACTTTGGTATGTATCTGTCATGACAATTGTATGATTTTCTTACATATTTCATGGTTGACATGAGCATGAGTGCGTTTGTTCTCTGGTTTTTCAAGACAATATTTTCCTTCTGTTCAGTGGCTCTACTTTCAATTTAGTCCGAAACTAAATTCTTATCTAGCTACGGATACTTTTCTTGGTGATTTGATATATTGAAAGCAGCGAATAATTTAATCCACCCCCCAACTTAACCTTGAGATCCCCCAATAAATAGTGACTCGTGTTTCTGATTATAAACCAGCCAAGAATTGTCGAAATTAGATTATCAAATAAGGGTAGGTGAAAGTAAGTTGTTTCGGACTACTTTCAATTATTGCAAATTTTAATGGTCTGAAGGGTTTCTTTTGAATGTAACAAATGCCCATTTGATGATGAATCCGATACTTTCCAAGCCTGAAAATATATTGACAAATATCTCCAATGCAAGGGCAGACTGAGAAACTCTGGGCCAGCCCCGTCGCCCGGAATGAATTGGTACTGGGGCTCAGATTTTGTACTCAGAAAATTTGATTCACAGAACTCATTTCTGACAATTTTAAGGTGCCAAAACGACACAGGAAATGATACAGGAAATTAATCAATCTCTGCTGAGCTGAAGAAGATTTGGCCTGGGCTTAATTCTGACTTGTCCACCCCAACTGTGGGGTTGCTATGGCCTCTTGGACCAAGAAGATGTCCTAGTAGGGCCACTATCCCAATGTCCAACTTGGCTCTTCCAATTTGTTTCTTGCCCTCACCCTATCTATTTGCAAATTTCTTTATATGATTTAAATTGTTTTATTTTCAATGAATTGAAAAAGGATTTTTGAAATATGATTCACATTTTGACTCTCTTCAGGTCAAAGAATTGATTTAAATAGCCGTTATGAACAGTTCAAATAATGGAGCATTGTATTTAGTGACACCAACAGTTGAAAGTAAACCATTAACTAAACATGCAGGATTTAAAGTTCATTTGAAACTAGAAAATCTACAACCACCAGGTTCATTCAAACTTAGAGGCATTTCATATCTATGTCAAAAGGTGAGTAGTGATAATGAATTGGCATATATTATGCTATGGGAGATGTAGGTCTTCTGTCCATTCACAGTCATTTTAATGGAGAAATGATGTATTTTATCAGTGATCATTGAAATTGAATATTATTGAGTTGAGGCCACAATGTGCATTTACATGTTGGATACGACCATATTTCCTCATGTCCAACTCTTAAATTGCATTTCAGACCCAAGCTTTTAACTGGGTCAAATATTACGTGAAACGAGACCCAATTTTTAAAATTATTACAGTTTGATTGTGACTCAAAAACCTCAAATCACGAAGTCATGATTTGATATCAGAAGAGTTGAGAACTGGGTTACTTGTCATAAATATCCTAATTTAAGATTCTCTGAGTGTTAATTTTTTTAGAATTAACTTAATTCATTATCAGTCCTCATATCTGTAACACTCTCTCATTGATGGTTTAATTACAGTTCACTATAATTTTGTTCAAATGAATTCAGGTTTAATTACAATTCACTACAATTTGACCCAGGTTCCATTCTCTGGCCAATTTAATTTCTCTAACAACTTAATTATCACTTGTAAATAGTTTTCTCCTGTCTTGTAATTGGTTATTAATCAAGTTAAATTTGTTTAGTCAAGTCTTTTATTTGTAGATCCTTGGTTGACATTGACATAAATATCAGCAGGTCAAATTAGTACTGTAATAGCTTACCATGGTTATTGATAAATGTTTAAAATTCTGAAGTCTACACCAACATCCCAGATATTATATTTATTATTCATATTTCAGGCCATAAATGAAAGAAATTGTAAAAAGCTAGTTTGTGCATCAGGAGGCAATGCTGGACTTGCTACAGCCTATTCAGCTCAACAATTAAAAACACCATGTACAATAGTTTTACCAAAGAGTACCCCAGATCACATAGCTGATAAACTGAGAGATTATGTAAGTCTTCTTAATTTTGTTTCATGATATAATGATAATGAAGCCTGTCATATATATTAGAGTCTGAGACATTCCATATTAACATTTAAGGGACAGGTGCACCATATTGGTGAGTTGATTTGAGTCTTGAATATATGTAATTAGTTTTCAGAAGTACTAGAAATCTACGAAAGATATTGAAAAACTCCTTCAAAAATATCTCAAATTAGGAATTTCAATCACAGATAGACTCAAATTTCAACGGTGAGCTGTCAACACTATTACTGTTTGGCTTCACTAAAAAAATCCTAAGATATGATGAAATATATTTGATCATGTTAATAGATATGTATATTTTGGGGTGCTGAAGTGATAGTAAAAGGAGAAGTATTTGATCATGTTAATAGATATGTATATTTTGGGGTGCTGAAGTGATAGTAAAAGGAGAAGTATTTGATCATGTTAATAGATATGTATATTTTGGGGTGCTGAAGTGATAGTAAAAGGAAAAGTATTTGATCATGTTAATAAATATGTATATTTCAGGGAGCTGAAGTGATAGTAAAAGGAGAAGTATTTGATCATGTTAATATATGTATATTTCAGGGTGCTGAAGTGATAGTAAAAGGAGAAGTATTTGATCATGTTAATATATGTATATTTCAGGGAGCTGAAGTGATAGTAAAAGGAGAAGTATTTGATCATGTTAATATATGTATATTTCAGGGAGCTGAAGTGATAGTAAAAGGAGAAGTATTTGATCATGTTAATAAATATGTATATTTCAGGGAGCTGAAGTGATAGTAAAAGGAGAAGTATTTGATCATGTTAATAAATATGTAAATTTCAGGGTGCTGAAGTGATAGTAAAAGGAGAAGTATTTGATCATGTTAATAAATATGTATATTTCAGGGAGCTGAAGTGATAGTAAAAGGAGAAGTATTTGATCATGTTAATATATGTATATTTCAGGGAGCTGAAGTGATAGTAAAAGGAGAAGTATTTGATCATGTTAATAAATATGTAAATTTCAGGGTGCTGAAGTGATAGTAAAAGGAGAAGTATTTGATCATGTTAATAAATATGTATATTTCAGGGAGCTGAAGTGATAGTAAAAGGAGAAGTATTTGATCATGTTAATAAATATGTATATTTCAGGGAGCTGAAGTGATAGTAAAAGGAGAGGTATTTGATCATGTTTATAATATGTATATTTCAGAGAGCTGAAGTGATAGTAAAAGGAGAAGTATTTGATCATGTTAATAAATATGTATATTTCAGGGAGCTGAAGTGATAGTAAAAGGAGAAGTATTTGATCATGTTAATATATGTATATTTCAGGGTGCTGAAGTGATAGTAAAAGGAGAAGTATTTGATCATGTTAATATATGTATATTTCAGGGTGCTGAAGTGATAGTAAAAGGAGAAGTATTTGATCATGCTAATGAATATGCTGAATCTTTAGCTCTACACCCAGGTGATATAAAAATTTTCCAAAGAATTTCACCTTTCACCTCGTACTGATTATTTTTTTTTTTTTGCCATGTCTTGCAAAATTTGAAAATTATATAGCCTTTCTGGTTAGACCAATTCAAGAATAAGAATTTGCTTAATTAGCACTGTTCGTATCTCAATGTAATGGACATATATTTTGTTCATATGTGTTCATTTGTTCATTTCAGAGTGTCAGTATGTTCATCCATTTAATCTTCCAGAATTATGGTAAGTTTCATACAAAAGGTTTAAAATATCTGTAACTTTCATACCAGAGGTTTGAAATATCTGTAAATTTCATACCAGAGGTTTGAAATATCTGTAACTTTCATACCAGAGGTTCGAAATATAGGTACCTTTCATACCAGAGGTTTGAAATATATGTAACTTTCATACCAGAAGATTGAAATATCTGTAACTTTCATACCAGAGGTTTAACATATCTGTAACTTTCATACCAGAGGTTTAACATATCTGTAACTTTCATACTAGAGGTTTGCAAAATCCGTAAATATCTGTAACTTTCATACCATAATATCTGCAACTTTCATACCAAGGTTTGAAATATGTATAACATTCATTGTTAGATGCATTCAGACTGATGATTAAAGGATTTTAACTTTTTTCTAAGATTTTCTAGAGTGATACTAAAGATTTCTGATTTTTAAGATTATTCTCTTTAAGGGAAGGTCACACTAGTCTGATATTGGAAGCAGCAGATCAGTTGAAGATGAAGCCTGATGTAATTATAACTTGTGTTGGAGGTGGTGGACTACTCAATGGTATTGTACAAGGAATGAGAAAAGTTGGCTGGGAAGACATACCTATTGTTGCCATGGAAACTATTGGTGCTGATTGCTTTAATAAGTCTGTTATTGCTGATAAGATTGTAACTTTACCAGATATCACTAGGTAATGTTGAATGATTTAGTGTTACTTTTGGTTTATGATTGGAATTTTAAGGCTAAAGTCCTGCATCAGCTGAGCTCAAAAGTCAAATTTTTACTTGTGACAGGGCCTTGTAGCCCTACCCCGTAGAATTAGTTCCTTGGTGGGTGCCATTTTGAAATCTTTTTGGAAAATCTACTTGGAAATGTAAGATATCTTGGTTGGCAAAATTTCAAAAAAGAGTTAAGCAGAAAAAGTTACAAGTTATTAAACCAGATAAGAAAGTATAACTGTATTATTCAGAGAATATTTTTTCTCGTTTTTTAGTGTTGCAAAGTGCCTGGGATCTCTAACTGTATCTAAACAAACCTTTGACTATTATAAAGAAGCTAAACCAGAAATACACTCAGTTATAGTAGATGATAGAGAGGCGGTGAATGCTTGTCTTAAATTTGCTGGTAGGTTGATATTACAATGATAATATAATTTGTTTAATACCATCATATGACACCTCCCTTGCCAACAAATATTTTGAATTTATGCTCTTTAGTATTGTAAAGGGTGGGAAACCAAGAATAATAGATCAGAGGATAAAGGTAAAAACTTAAAGGTGAAGGGGGTTATTGCCATGGTGTGGGATGAAAATTTTTTTCGGGTAGTTCAAGAGGCAGCTTACATGAGGAATCCTAGTCTAGTGGGTTTATTGGTCGCATCCGTGTGGTATGTGTCCTTCTAGGGTTCAAGGTCAAATAAAGGACACAATCCCAATATGTGGTGTATCTTGAAAACGACTCATTTAAAAGGGACAGATAAACCATCCGTTTGACCAATAGTAAATAGTCTCAGGAAAAAGAAATTTTTCAGCTAAGCTATTCAAGTATAGTGTTCACAGTTCACAGTCGAAATTTGGTCCTTCAAATCTATGTGTGTTTGAATGTTAAAATGATGACCCATCATATCTTGTCATCTATAGAAAAGACATGTATAGATATGGAAAGTGAAATTCCTTGTTTGAGGTACTTCTGAAGACTATTTACATCAAGACCCAAATCAACCCCCAGAATGGCGAATCTGTCAAATGTATATGAGCAGATAGGAAACCCCTATAGAAAATTTGGAAAATACACATAATTGTCATGATGTCATCTATACCTATTTATTTTTCATTCTAAATTATAGAAACAGGATTATATTTTTTAGTTATTTGATATTCTAAAATCATGAATATGAATTCTGAATTTTAGATGACCACCGTTTCTTGGTAGAACCTGCATGTGGTGCCACACTAGCTGCTATTTATAGTAACAGTATACAAAGACTTCAAGAAGAAGGAAGATTAGGAACTATTGATAATGCTTTAGTTATAGTTTGTGGTGGAAGTATGGTAAACTTAGAAACATTACAAGACCTTAAAAAACAATTTAATCTGTAATGTCAGTCGTTTGTCTTTTTATACTTTTCCCCCTGATAGATAGCCCCTATTTTTTAGTGATTGAAAATTTGAAATTACTGGAACAATGCCTAGAGATATCAGGTTTCATCAGGACTATAGTATACATAAAACACAAAAGCAATTGTTACCTCCAATTAATTCAAGAACTCATACAGAACCACATTTTGTAAACCATTTATATATAGATTGAATTGAATTCCAAATATTGCTGATGGTCTTAGATTGTCTTTGGTTTGATGAATATGCAGAGCAATGACACAATCATCATTTGGAATATGATTTTAAAGTAGGCCAAAACATATGCCTCTATTTCAGCCTCTGATGGATATTTTGACAATTATCGGCTGAAGTAGAGTCAGAAAACCCGGTCCTGTTTTACGGAGCTTTTCCACACCTCTGAATAGTCGTTTTTTCTAACATGATATAAAATTGTCTTTACGATGACTGTAAATTATTGTTGGGTATCACCTTAACTTTCGTTTTGTTAGTTCCACGTGACCCGTAAACTTTTGGCTTTTAAATGGCCGACTAGTGATCTGTTTCGTTTAAAAAAAAATGTAATGGAAACGCAGACATAAATGATGTATAAACGATAATATGACTGAACTACAAAAATATCAGCCAACAACTTTCAAAGTAGCTATCAGAGGCTGGAGTAGACGCAGATGTTTCGGTGTAATAATACAGGAGAACATCTCAAACCGAAATGGGGGTCATTTTCACTGGAAATTGAAGGGATGGATGTTAATTTATTTCAGATGTAAAGTCATCAAACCTTACATTCCCGTGGACCCGAGGACATTGTAAGATCCTCTAAATTTGAAGGTGTCAAAGTAGCCTGTTCTGCCTCTATTCCAGCTCTGATTCAAAATTTGAATTCAATTAAATTTGAGTCACACTTGTAGATCAAAATGTAATAGTATTAAAATTATCATGCATGGATGCCATCATGTTCACCAAGTGACGATCGTCTTTAATTCAGGACAAGGCCTGTAATGGTAAACCTGCTCTGTAATGCAACGCTGACTAATTGAAATTAGACCAAACGAACGTTCCGTTTTTCATTAGCTTTTATTTCAGAATATCAATTTCAGTTAGGGTCTAACGACAGCCCTCTTGAGCGTTCGTCAAATTGTTGCCCTCTCCAAGCTGGCATTTTGTAACGCAGCATTTATCAGGTTAGGTCAAATGTTGAACGAATGTTTAAGAAGGCTGTCCCTAACTGTAGTGGCTATATTAAAAATTAAAGCTAATAAAAACGGAACGAAAGTTTGGCCTTATTTTCATTAGTATGCAGGGCAAGATGAAGATTTAAAGTTGCCTGTCTCTTCCAGAAAGCCAAAGGGTTTCATTTTTCATCATTTGCCAACAGACATTTCTGCTTTAGAGCTATTTTGGCACTCTGATGATCCCCTCATCATCTGGTACTGAAGTAGATGGCTGACTGTCTAGCTTCTTAATATACTTGTTTTGACTTTTTTTTTAATTTCACATGTATGCATTACTTTTGGTTAAGCTGGCACACCAAGGTTCCTAAAATACCTAATCAAAGATCGTTTGTATTGTATTACAGTAATGCATTTATCTTGTGCTTCAAAATTTGTATAAATTCTAATGAATTATATTCATCACTAATCACACATCAGCGGAGAGTGATTAAAAATATTTTACAAAGAACAAGAAGGGCTTTCAGTAATGCATATTTTTAACTGTATGTATATTAAGACCTATTTACTCTGTCTCTACCGACTACAGACTAACAGTGGGTTAAGTGGTGTTTTGTGGTGATTACAAAGAGGCAAATATCGCTGGAGCTTTCCTTGCATATATAACCGGCAGATTCTGGCTGAAAAGAAACCTTCAAGGGGCTGCTTGTCAAATCTTTATGGTGGTGGCTCAAGGCTCTACTGGTCAAACCTTTACACTTTAGCATCAGTAGCATCAAAAATATAAGGCAAATATATGACATGATATTTGTGACAAGAACAACGTCATCATAACATTAATGATGATTACCACATGTAGAGTAATAAGCAAATTATATCCAGTATCACAACACATAGCTCTTTTCTTGTCAAACTGTATCTGACCTTTTATAACACCCCACTTGCCCTAACGACAGTACAAAATAGTGAACTAACTCGTTGACTTGGGTTTAAATGTAGAACACATTTTGCCTATCTTTAACTAGATTATTATCATGATGTTAAGCTATTATAATTTAATTTATTACGAACTCACTCTAAATGGTTATACAGGTGATGTAAACATTTTTGGTTTCTGATCACTTTGACCTTTTCGAACTGTATAATTTATAGTTCATTGAGATAAGGAGTTATAAACAGTGGCAACTCTCAAATTTCGCTGAAAAATCACCAGGTGCACTAGAAAGTCTGGATAACATTGACTACATAATTCAAATTCTTGTAAAAAAAAAGATATTAGGAAGAAAACTCTGCGGTATTAATAGGTCATCAGATCTATCTGGGACAACTTTTTAAATTAGAATCTTCGATCCATTTGGACTTTTTAAAGGGATTGTAAAGAGGTTTTCTAAATTTGTATGTACATATAAATCTGACGTCTGTGGTTCCTTTAATTCCAGAAAAAACTAAGTATTTGATGACGTCACTAATCGCGAAAGGTCCTATGTGATACAGCAAATTTTGAGATTAGTGACGTCATCAAACAATTAGTTTTGGTTGGATTGCAGAAACCACGGGCGTCTGATTTAAAATTGGAATGGTGCAAATTGGTGTTATCAGTGTTCCCAATACGCATAACAAATTTTGAAAACCTCTTTATAAACACGGTATAAAGCTTTATGTCATTGTTTTAAGGGCCAATATCCTTGTGATGTGACTATATATAAATATGATCTTATATCTTGATAAGATCGTTATCAATTTTTGTGTCATTTTCTAATGAAACAATATCACAGTAGGCGGTGTGCTTTATTACATATTGTGAATTTTGATAAACGTTAAACTTGGGAATTATTATGCAACACTACGAAACTGAAACATTCGGTGGAATTGTGACTTTTTCAAAATTGGAACTTTTGATAGATGCGTAATGCCAATGAAACTGGATCTTTCAGTCGACGTTCGACGCTTAAAAAACTGGAACTTTCAAGAGCTTACAAAACTGAAACTTTTTTTTTTGGATATGTGCGCTTCCAAAACTAGAATATTCGGCGAGTAAATGAAAATCAGAACTTTCAGAAGATACGCGATACTTATAACGACGCTTTCATCGATAGATGTGTGGTACTTGCAAAATTTGGCCCTTTGATGGATACAAATCTAGCATTTTCGATTAACATGTGACGGTTACAAAATTAGAACCATTTGATCCATATGTGACGCTTACAAAACTGTAAATTTCGGTATATATATGTGACAATTTCAATACTGCATCTTTTGTTGGTACGTGACGCCGCTTACTCAAACTCCAACTTGTGGTCACTACGCAGCAAATTATTTTTAACCCAATAAATGAATATAACAGAAGCAGAATAGTTGGCGTAACTCTCTATTTTTTATGATTTTCCAATGACTACTGTAATAGACATGAACGGTGAAAGTAAAAAGGAATATGACTATCGGATTAAAATCATCTTATTAGGTGACGTGAACGTTGGTAAATCGTCTTTTATCCGGGTGTTGTCCGAACAGACAGACCTGGAACAGGGGTGCTGCTGTAAAGATTATCAACAGAACAGTTATGCCGAGGTGGAATGTATACTTAATGGAAAACGAATCCTAGCTAAAATTATTGATACTGGAGGTATGTCTCTTTTAAATATAAATATACGCTCATATATTTTGATTGTGCACAAACAAGCATTTAAGTGATACATGATCGAATTTTTTCAATCGTTCTTATTAGTCATCTAGAAATAATTTTGTGTTTTATGCTTTATCATTTATCGTTCATATTTTGGACAATAGCCAGTAAAGATCTTATTAGTGCTGTATAGGCGAGTAGTTCGAAAACATTTTGTCAGCTGATCTCTTCCATAATTCTTTGATGGATTTTTATGGAGGGCAAACAGTGGCAAAGAATCTAAAAGAAAAATGGCGAACTGAAACTATGTTAAACCATAAAATTCGCATTAATATGTTACATGCGTCTCAAGAATCTTTAAAATATTTTGTATTCTTGATGAAACAAAGGAAAATGAAAGAAAAAAATAACAAATTTGGTATATTAAAATTATGAAATGCCAACACCTCAAACGTAGAGTGCCACCAAGCGTTATGTCAAATTTATTTTCAGGTCAGGAAAAATTCCGGAGTTTAACAGCGTCTTATTACAGAGGTATACATGGTTGTTTTGTATTGTTTAACAGAAATAGAGAACAAACATTTAATAACATTATGAGTTGGTAAGCAACGATTTTGTATAATTTCTACATGGAGAGTAAGGGCATTTTGTGACATCGCTTATCAAACGAATCCAGTAATATTTTTGGCGAGCTTCAGCATCGATTCTTAGCTGATATACAGAAATGAATTCTGAAAACATTAGAACTTTATGATAAAACATAGGAGATAACACATGTGAGCTCAACATAAATGTAAGAGATAGATAGTTGGTCATTGCAGTGATATGGTTACAAATCACAAGTAACAACTTTCCCACAACAGGCACTTGGTCAATGAACGAGGAAATAATTCTGCTTTGTAAAGGCTCTCTCCAAATAAAAGGGTGTAAATTGTTAGTAAACGGAGATTTGTTATTTGTAAACAATATTTTTATTCAGAATTGTATTGATATACATAATGAAAATGATTGGAGAACAGGGTGCGGCTTTATCACCCCTCTCCAACTGCTCAACATTAAGAAAACAAGTGAGAAAGCAGAACTTTAAAGCTCCTGTGGTAAAGTTCAACGTTCCCATTGAATCTCTCGGATTTTGGAATAACCTATTCTGTATTGTCGTGGTTTTATTGGAGTTTTGTCCCCTTTAACCAAAGGAGGGGCCTAATCGGTGACACTTGTTTTTTCAGGTTGGATGAGTTAAATTCCTTCAACCACCAACATTTAATTTGTACAATGATAGTTGGTACTTCTGCTTCATCTCAAGAACCTAAAATCTCCACAGAAAAAGCAATCAAACTCTCAGAACACATTAATGGGGAATATGCCGAAGTTTTTATGCACAAACCAAACGAAGTTGTCAAAGCTTTACATGGGATGTTAGACTGTATTGTAGCTGAAATACCGAACACGAATTCATTGAGTGTCTCTATTACACCAAAAACAAGGAAGCAAAATAAAAAGAAAGTGTTTATTGAATGTGCCTGTTGATCCTTAATCAATTTTGATGCATGCAAATGATCACATTCCGAAAAAAGGACGTTTCGGGTTCTAATTTGCTGCAGTTTGCAGTCCACGAAGCATGTCGTAATCAAGCAGAGAAACAACCTTCGTAAATACCACGCACGCCGCCGTATCAAAACGTTAAATATTATAATGTGTTGAAGATACGTTGGAAAAGAACGTTTGGTATTATTTGTCAGGTCAACATAACCACGGCAACCTCCTTAAAATGACAGTGTCGCCGATTTGTATTACATTTCTTTGCCAAGTGGTAAAAAAGGTTCATAAATAGAGGATTACTTCCGCTATATTGACATAATTCTATGTGCAAAAGGTGGAAACAATAACTGTATATACTTGTGAAGGTGGTGAACCAAACTTTAAATTAAAACCGAAATAACAAATTTGCAAAAGTAATCTCTTAGATCATCATTTTTCAAGCAGAGAATAAGCTTAAATAACACAAGATATATGGATATACTACTTCACGTAAATAATGATTATTTACTTGACAACGTTACCGGTATGTGTTTCGAAACGTAGTATGTAATAAACTCAGAAGTAGTATATCCATATATCTTGTGTTATTTATGTTTGCCTTCCTACTTCTATATATCTTACAAAGATAAAAGGAGAGAATAAGCTATTGAAAGAAAAAAAATCAAATGTGAAATTCTTAGTTTTAAGTCTTTTTGAAGAAATTATGCTATTTCTGTGCAGTCTTGGTACTTCGAGAAAATGTTGAACATGGCCTTTCCTCTGAGTCATTCGTCTCATTTGTTATCTGTCAAACTAGTAAAAACTGACATCGTTATCTTAGGATAAATATATATCGTAAATATATAGTCAATGTCTTTTTATGATATATTATTCTATGATTAATAAAGCCTCGAATACGCGAGGTGAGGTGTGCGGTGCGGTGTACGCTGTGGAATAATCGATGCAAACGAAAATAGAAGAAGTGAACAAACGAGATACGGGTCCGGACATGGTGCTGACATGATTAGTTTCTTCTATTTTTTACTGTATCTATATCCCACGCCGTATACCGCACCGGACACCGTACCTCGTTGAGATACCTCGTCAAGATATACCCCGTCGAGATACCTGAGATTGCCCAAATCTCTAACACTGTTCTGAGATTTTTGCCCGAAAAACTTGCTTCCGCATATACATACACTTTAAATGAAAATGAATTTTATTTTAATCTTTATAAGTTTCTTTTGGCGAAGTTTCAGTATTTAATGCATTGCTCGACTAAAGTCAATCTATGTTATTAGACAGAAGAAAAGGTTTTCTTGGCGTATACAGTAAGTTTTACAGTTATCATTCAAAAATAGTCTTCAAACGATATTTTGTCGAAAAATAATCTATAATATAATAAATATATAATGCATGTTTTATTTAAATTTATCGGTCCGGAACAAATGTAATAGGCTTACACCTGCGCAACATTAAAAAAGAAACACGTAAAAGTCTTATTTTAAATGGATCGTAAAGAGGTTTTCTAAATTTTTTATGTTTTTCAGGGACACTGATAGCATCAATTTGTACCATTCCAATTTTCAATCAGACATCTGTGATTCCTGTAATTCATTAATCCTATGCTTTATCACAGACAAAAGGCCCTTCGCGATTAGTGACGTCAAAAAGCACTTACTTTCAGTGTAAAACTGTAACCACAGACGTCTGGTTGAAAATTGCAAATTGATGCTATCTGTGTTCAACACTTGTCGCTGAGAAACAGGGTTTTTGATCCGATTCCGGTTTCTTGCACGGAGTCATACCTGAAAAAGTTTGGACTATTGCCTTGACTTACCAAGGGCACAAGAAAGTCTAGACTGTTCAAAAGAACACCACAGTTGGTGTCTGAGAAGCCATTAGAAAGAAATTGTTTTAATAATAATTCCTGGTTGGTCCGACCCCAGGAATACCGAGCGAGGACCCACCAGGGCATTGAGTTTACCTTTTCTGTTAGTGTAGGAAAGTGGAACTCATTGAGCTGATTCCAACTCATTGAGCCATTCCAATTTTCAATCAGACGTCTTTGGTACTAGCGATTCTACTAAAACTAAGTGTTTTATGACGTCACCCCTGCAAAGGTGCTGTAATGTGGAACAAGCAAATTTTGCGGGGGTGATTTCATGAAACACTTAAAATATTCTTGTACTAGTTGAGGCACATAAGGCCTTTGCGATTAATGATTTCATTAAACACTTAATAATAGTGGAAATGCAGGAACTAAAGACGTTTGATTAGAAATTTGAATGGTACAAATTGATGCTTTCAGTGTCCCCGAGAAGCATAACAAATTTAGAAATCTTCTTTACAGTCCCTTTATGTTTCAAATTATACCAAGCTGTGGATGCAGTTGTGACTTGTCGTTTAAACTGGGTACAAAATAGTGAATTTCACAGTAGTGGCCCTATAATTTTTTGATTTAGAAAAGGCTAACTGAGGTCTTTTGACACTGTGTGTTTTAAGCAGACAAACCATCCCTTTTAAAAAAAGCCACACCCATTTAAATTTCCTAATCCCCAATTTTTTCCCCAAATTTAAATTTTATTTTTCATTTATTTTTTTTTTTTTGTTCAGAAAAATCACCGCCAATCAGTGTCAAATAGGTCGAATTATAACTCAGAGATTATAAATAGGTCTGATACTGAAAAGTATTGAAGAAGTCCATACAAAGTTACGTAAACATTCCAATGAAAGCAGATCAATAATCTATAATTTTATTATCTGGTTGGAAAGTATTAGTTGTCTGTATCCAAAATAAAGGGACATAAATCTTTTATTTTTACGAGTTAGCTCCCCTTATATAAATTATTTTTCTTAATTATCAAGACTGTGACAGTGACAGATGGCAGCATTTTATTCTGATCTGTTATATTGAGTTAATAGCTATGTAAATTTAATTCATACTTTCGATTTATGTTAATTGTGATAGACTGATACGATCAACATGAATAGGTATGCTATGCATCAATAAGTTTTATTCTATATTGGAAATCCATACAACTCTATTTGTCTACTCGTCGTCGTCTGATTGTGATACTGAATACTGATAGTGATAAGCAGATAAGTAAAAAGTAGCTAAAAATTAAAGATCAATTCTAATATGTTCACTGTCAGACACACAAATCTTTTCAATTAAACTTATTTTTGATTTTTAATGAAGGTAAATGCGACATCAATATTTTCTAAATATTTATGGATTAGGTTGAAACTCACTGATATTGATAATATTAATCATATTAATTTAGACAATGTAGATGTATTTTCTGCAGAAATAATTGGAGTAAATGTATGTATGTGATACCTTACAATGAAATTCATTTGTCTGGCATCCGACATAAGATATCCAATGAAGATTACACAAGTTTTGTTTTGTAAATCTTTTCTATCACAATGTAGTAAACTAATTTAGAATAAGAGAAAAATACCAATGGCAGCAATGGTGAACCATTTTCATAATATTTCGTGAAAAATGATCTCAAATCTGTAACGTTTCTTGTGGTATTTACAATAGATTTCAGTTAGTGCCACTCATTGTTGAAGGAATAAGCTTACTACCTCCCAGAATGGACATAAAATTAAATTCCCCAACTTAGCCAAAATAAGTTTGAAAGTTTATTCATCGATGGACTTACTGATGTCATAAGTATACAACAGAATCTGTATATGATGATAAATCCATAATACCACTCTCTCTCTGGCTACACTGCTTTCTGAATTGAATTTTGACTATCATTTTCGTATGAATTAAAATATCTACTGAGAGTCTTATAATTGTCTGTGGGTTGATGAAAATGAAAAAAATATTAATTATAAAAATGATTTTACAGAGGGGAATTTTCTGTCCGAAATGTTGGTCATTTTTCAGACAGTAAGTAATAATTGAAACAAGCTTACAAAAAATCTTATATTTCAGATTTGTTAAATTTCGAAGAGGTGATTCGTATGAGAATTTACATGGTGACGATATCGCAGGCACAGAGAAAGTAGAGATGGATATAACTGATATGTATAGAGAATTAGATAAAGATCAACAAAATGTTAATAATTCTATAGTACCGGTAGTGAATAATGAATCTGCAGCTAAACCTCCTCCAACTGGTAAGCTATTTCTGTAGTATAGAATTTAACAAACTATGGCTAGATCATTTTTATCTGATAACGACATATGTTAATTGTGTTTAAATATTATTTACTTTCTTATTAAAGAAATATATTATACCATAATTTATTCCCTTGTGTTTTTGTTATATTTCATGTGCTCTTTGCTTCTAAATGTCATTCTAATCTATTTTCATTAATTGTATTTCAAATAAGCAGGCATAGTCAAAAAATCTTATCAGTATATTCTTATCTTAATTGATAATAATCAATTTATGAGGATTTATTTGAAAATATCCTTATGATGGAAAGTTTATCTTTACTTTCAGAAACATATACAATTCAAGAAGCAATAGATTATATAGGATTTGGTAAATTTCAAGTTAAACTTTCTGTACTAACTGGTTTTGCATGGGTAAGTAGCATGTTTTATAGATAAAAATATATTTATAGATGTTATCTATAGTTTTCTCTAAATGCTCACAACTATTTTTTGGAAGAATTCAATCCCAGTACAGGATGAGATTGTTTAGGCATTTCATTTGCATCATCCATGTCTTTCACGTGTCACGTTTCACAGGTCATTTGTGATCCAAAGAAATTAACAATGTGTTATCGTTTCAATCAAGTGAGTAGCATGGTACCATTTTGCCCTCAGAAGAGTTCATGTCCACCCCAGCGAATGTCCAAGTGACAAATGACTGAGTTAAAAGCGAACCCTGTGTAACCCTTCACATGTGAACAGTTACGAGAGGAATGAGAAGTGAATCGTTCATTCCTATATAATGTCTGCCTAATGCAGATGTATTCATTCATATTCATGGTAAAATTCTATGTCGTTTAAAATAATGGTTTTTTTTTTGCTATTATAATGAACCAATAAAACCGTTCAACCTCATGCAGTGTACAATGGACAAATTTTTCTATCGCAGCTGCATTTATAGCCTTTTTGTTAGAACTTTCAAGGCACAGCCTGTACACACACATACAATCTAATTACAATTTGGTATCTGTTTTGTTTTCTGATCCATGGTAATCTAACCAGTTTTCTACCAAAGGTCTTTGCCAAAAGTAGAATTTTTAAACCATCAAAACCTAAAGTAGAGCAATATGACAGTCTCTTTATGAGACACTGGGATATTGTCATCCCACAATTCCTTATCTTATCAAGATTTGGGTTTAACATGACATGCTTTGATTGGTTAAAAATAACATTATTGGGACAAGCCTTTAATTCTAATTAGATTGATAGAACACATGGCCTTGGTTTGCTTCCGACATGAGTTATGAGATGCTTTGGCAATATCAGCCTCTCAGACCTGCATCACTGACAGGGGAAAACCTGATTTCAGCAAAGCAAAGATTAATACTCGTTTTTTGCAGGGAAGATACCTCAGACTCCATTTCCAAAAATTATCTGTCCTGATAGACCATTTTTAGGGCTGCAAAGATTCTTGAAGTTGCAATTCAATACACTATACGATACTCATCCAATGATGCAATTTATTGCAATTCATTTATTAGAGAAGCAAAGAGAAAAAATAGTCGAAATTTGTAAAATTACTAACAATTTTATCACTATTAAGCACTTGAGAACATTTAAAAGTAAGAAATTGTGAAAAAGATCTCAATTTTTAAAGTCAGAAATACATTTTTGCAAATTTTGATGTGAAAATCATACTCAGAAAATGAAAACATGACACAATTTCTTATACACACAAGGATTCTATGTCATTTGATATTAAAGTTGGCTTAGAATTAATCGTGCCGATACATCAGGATTATTTCTATCCAACACAATACATTGATAATGAGAAAAGAATCACGGTTTATTGATTCATCAGTGAATGGTTGCAGCCCTATTTTGCAATGATAAGTGGTTCCCTATGAGTTCCATGTTGTAGCATGTATGATATATAATATGATATTGAAAATAAATCATGCATGATCATAATAATTTGAATTATTATAGATGGCTGATGCTATGGAAATGATGATATTATCTATCTTATCACCAGCGTTACATTGTGAATGGCAACTGAAGGGTATACAGGAAGCCTCTATTACAACAGTAAGTAATCTGTAACCAATTCCAAACTCATTGCCTAAATACAAATTTTCAGTTTGAAAAGTCAAAATGATGTTTTAAATTATTCAGAAAGATGGTTATTTTTGTAGTTCAATCAAGCCATCATAAACCCCTTACACAATCCAATCTTTTTTTTTAACGAAACTGAAATGTCAAAGACTGCTTGCGCATCCAAGGATCAAGAATCACATGAAAATTAGAAAACAAAAGTAGCGATGACGCCCCAGCATCAGGATTTGTGAGATTGGAGGTAAATGAACATTTCTAAAAAAATGGCACTTTTAGAGGTGCAGAAAATCCCCATAAAGCAAGGCCATGTTTTTCTGACCCTACTCTAGCCTGCAACTTTCACAATAACTATCAGAGCCTGAAATTAGAAGCAGATGTTTTGTACTGAAATAAACAAAGGCTTTTAATCACTTTTCTTTGGAAAGACCTCCATTATGGGCTTTTATGAAATATGAGCTTCATGTCATACAAATGAAGTATGAAGTGATAAATCAAATTGTTACACATGATAATAGTCTTTATGCAGTAGGAAATTATTTCCAAGATAACATCTAAATCATTTTTAACAGTTTAATCTAAATTTGCAACAAATGTTAAGTTTATGTGTCATAACATTTGAGCTATTTGTAATGATATTGAATTGTGATTTATGATGATAATATTAATGTTGATAGTTTTATAATATATAAACTGATAAAGATATTTAGATAGGATAAAAGCAGGAAATATCAAAATAGATACCCATTACCACCAGTGCCTTGTAAATCCATCCTGGAGACATCTCAATTCCTGTTTTTACTATATGAAGTCCATTGACTAAGGCGCTGGCCGTTGGAGTCCCAGGTGTTTTGATGTTCAAAAAATTTCCTTTCACTAAATACTCTTAGATATAAAATTTAGCAAAACCTTGCTCGTCTAATGGAAACTGCATTTGGACGATTCAAAGCTCCAGTTATAAATGGCTGGTAAATGCAGACAATATTAAAGCTCCTGATTATATATTACAGTGTATTTGAATTCCGATATCATAGTATTCCACAGTCTGAACAATTCTGTGTCTTTTATATACGTCTATATATGTAAAAAAAACTTTTTCAGGTTGTATTTTGTGGAATGATGTTGTCGTCTAGTATATGGGGTGGTATTTGTGATAAATATGGTAGAAAAAAGGTAATTTGTATAAGTTTGGTTTAATGGGATAGGTTCTCCATTTTTGGAGGTTAATTTTAGTCTTGAATCTATGTAAATAGTCTGTAGAAGTACTAGAAATGTACAAAAATTTGCATAATTCCTTCAAAAATATGTCTCTCTCTGTTTCTATATAAGTCCTTTGTATGTAAGGCAGAATCTCAAGAAAAGATGAGTTGTCTTTTCCTCAATATGTAAATGTAATGCAAGGCTATTTTTTCATCTTTCCAGGAATTGATCTTGTGCTCTGTGTTTACGTGTTATTTTGGTATTTTGAGTGCATTTTCTCCAAATTATTATTGGATGTTGATATTAAGAGGTTTAGTAGGATTTGGTATAGGGGGAGCTCCACAATCGTAAGTTTTCTTAACTGCCAAAGTGGTTGTTGCAGACAATTTATAGACCATTTTGGAAATATTTTAGTTATATTTTACTGGCCCTATTTAGGCTGATAAAGCTTGGTATTGAAAATTGGTGTTCTACATATGACAGTGATTATTGTCTTTCAATGCCCTTAAAGCTAATCCATACAATCTGTTTATCCTTACAGTGCTAGTAACAAACATCAATTTTTCTTTAAATGAAAAAACTTCTTGACAAGTTTACCAGGTATTCGAAATTGACTTAATTCTTATTTTATAGGGTCACATTATATGCTGAATTTTTACCATCAAAATCACGAGCAAGATGTGTTGTTTTAGTAGAGGTAATCTTATATGACTTTTATATAGAGGTATAATAAATGGTATTTGGAAATATACAAGGCAAACTTTTAGCGTTTTCATCTTCCATGTTGCGTCCTTCAAACTTGCATCACAGACTTTTCACTAATGATTACCAAGTCAGTACAACAAATTTTGTTTGAACACTTTTGGCATCAGTTTAAGATTTGACAGTGCTTTGACCACATATTTCTATATTTTTTTTCAGGTATTTTGGGCGTTAGGAGCATGTTTTGAGGTATTATTAGCTCTAGTTGTTATGCCAGTGTATGGTTGGAGTACTCTATTAGGTTTATCAGCTCTACCATTACTCTTCTTCTCTTTGTGTTGTTTTGTAAGTATACATTGATGTAGAATTTAGATCTATCAAACATTTGCTTAAAAGTTGATGAAACCCTTTGCTGCGGGAACATAAACGTTGCTTGTCACCGCTTTTTGTCACTAACACAAATCTTTAGTAAAATCTCACCTGTGACGACGTTTACATGACAAAATTCTGGCGTTTCAGACATGATTTTGAACATTAAACCAGTTTGATATATGCCTTTGTTTGTCCGTACTCACAATTAGGCAAGATTCCACAGAGAGTCATCAGGTTCATTTTCACTTCAATAACATGATCATCAAGTGATTATTGACATGGTGGAAATGACTGACTGGAGATTTTTTGACTCCTTGTATGCTCGCAGCAGGTTGATGAAACTCTTGACAAGACCCTAGTCTGTGACAAAAATTGTCGCATTATGCATTATGTTTTTCTTTTCTTGAATATTTAGAAGAAATACATTCCACCTTTAGATAACAACTTGGTTTACTGGGAAGCACTGAACAGTGTGCTTTTTCTGTCAATTTTTAATCAGACTTCAAACAACTGTGTAATGAATTCATGAAACATTCTGATCAACAAATGCTTGCATGAATATTTATAATTTACTTACCAGGTATACTAGACAAACATATACTATAACACATCAAAAATCTATACAAATATCATAAATAATTCATTTATTAATTAGCAACAGTAAACCTATTGACAATAAATTACTAGTAATATTATTCTGTTATTGATTGAAAATATACAATAGTAAATAATCATTGAAACTTGAAAGATAAAGTGTTACTTTTTACCTATTACCCCTTAACATGATACATATCCTTAGCAGTTCTTGATACATATTTTACCACAGTTCTTGATACATATCCTATCACAGTTCTTGATACATATTCTATCACAGTTCATGGTACATATCCTATCACAGTTCTTGATACATATTCTATCACAGTTCTTGATACACATCCTATCACAGTTCTTGATACAACATATTCTATCACAGTTCTTGGTACATATCCTATTGCAGTTCTTGATACATATTCTATTGTAACATATCCTATAGCAGTTCTTGATTATATCCTATTGTAACATATGTTATCACAGTTCTTAATACATATCCTATTGTAACATATCCTATTGCAGTTCCTAATACATATCCTATTGTTACATATCCTATTGCAGTTCTTGATACATACCATATTGCAGTTCTTAATACATATCCTATTGTAACATATCCTATTGCAGTTCTTAATACATATCCTATTGTAACATATCCTATTGCAGTTCTTAATACATATCCTATTGTAACATATCCTATTGCAGTTCTTAATACATATCCTATTGTAACATACCCTATTGCAGTTCTTAATACATATCCTATTGTAACATTTCCTATCGCAGTTCTTAATACATATCCTATTGTAACATATCCTATCGCAGTTCTTAATACATATCCTATTGTAACATATCCTATTGCAGTTCTTAATACATATCCTATTGTAACATATCCTATTGCAGTTCTTAATACATATCCTATTGTAACATATCCTATTGCAGTTCTTAATACATATCCTATTGTAACATTTCCTATCGCAGTTCTTAATACATATCCTATTGTAACATATCCTATCGCAGTTCTTAATACATATCCTATTGTAACATATCCTATTGCAGTTCTTAATACATATCCTATTGTAACATATCCTATTGCAGTTCTTAATACATATCCTATTGTAACATATCCTATCGCAGTTCTTAATACATATCCTATTGTAACATATCCTATCGCAGTTCTTAATACATATCCTATTGTAAGATATCCTATTGCAGTTCTTGATACATACCCTATTGTAACATTTCCTATCGCAGTTCTTAATACATATCCTATTGTAACATATCCTATCGCAGTTCTTAATACATATCCTATTGTAACATATCCTATCGCAGTTCTTAATACATATCCTATTGTAAGATATCCTATTGCAGTTCTTGATACATACCCTATTGTAACATTTCCTATCGCAGTTCTTAATACATACCCTATTGCAGTTCTTGATACATATCAAATTGCACTGATGCAAAATTGATGTGACCAGTGTTCTCAATACACTTGAAAACCTCTTTACGATCTCTCTTAGAATGTAATTCTGGTATAATTTCAGTGGTTACCAGAAAGTGCCAGATATGACATCACTCGAGGTGATTATGAAAAGGCTGTAGCTACTATAAAAAGAATAGCTGAAGAAAATGGTAAACCAGCACCACCTGGTCGATTAGTTGAACCTAAAGTTGAGGTAAGTTAATTTTAGTCATGCAGAATGCACTGATACACTATTGCTGTCTGCAATAAACTCAAAGAAATCTTTAAGACAGAGTCTCAAGAAAAGATGATTCGTCTTTTTAACTCTTAAACGCGAATAATTCTGGACACACATGGATTTGAAGGCTCAAATTGCGAAGGTGATTGTGAACAATATTATTGATTAACTTAAAAAAATTCCTGTTTCTGAGTATCATGAGTCACACAAATGGCGAACTTGTCCCTTTAAGAGTACATCTATACCTTTAAATCCATCTTTTTAGTGAACTAGCCTTGTATTAGATGTATTTAAGATATTGAAATATGGAAAGTGGCTACTAATGTGGATATAAGAACTTTGAACTGTCCCTTTATTGAAAAGAATCAGTGTTCAATTTTATGTCAAATTGTAATATAGCATGTTAAACTTATTGAGCTTATTAATCAGAGTGATATTTTGAAAGTAAAAACACAGAGACACACACACAATCCCTTGAAAGAAAAAGCCACACTCCTTTTCAGTTGATGGTGGTCATTTTCATTCATTCATTGATTCATTCATTCTTATTGACAGGAGATAAAGACTGGTTCATACAAGGATTTATTTATGCCTGATTTAAAAGTTACTACTATTTTACTCTGGATTATTTGGTAAGTTTGTTAATATTTTCAAACACATCAAATTTTAGAGCAACCTCATCGAGTTTTTATACAAAACTGTCAGACTTAAACCATTTTCAGAAATTCTAATTAAAGTCTGTTGGCTTTTACAGCTGGATCTGCTGGAATAATGAGGAAAAAGGGCCTATGCATAGTCAGGAATCTTTCACACGCCTACCCTGATTGGGACCCATGACCATCATTTGTTGAACGCAACGCAAAGATTTCAGTGCTCAACAAACCAACAACATATTTCTGAAAGATCATTCATTTGTTTTTCAGGCTAGTATGTGCTTTCTCATATTATGGTATTGTACTCCTGACTACAGCTTTATTTGAGAATCCTGATGGTTGCCATGGTAACTATGTTATTCCCATATTATTTGGATTAAGTCAACTGATACCTGTTTTCAAAAAAAATTTTCTTGAAAGAAAATAAATCAGAAAATATTTTTATCCATGCACATTAGAATTTCGACACAAAACAATGTTTCTCAAATAAAAGTGGTTAAAATTAAAGTTATTCTTAAGGATATAATGTTTAAGTTTGAACATGAATTAATTAGTTAATTAAGTGTTAATTTAATGTTGTATGATAGGTACTGATGTAAAAACCAATCCAGAACCAAAATGTTATTTGGAATGTAAAACATTAACAACAGATGATTATAGAGATTTGACTTGGACGACATTTGCTGAATTTCCTGGTAAGTTTATCTTCGAAGTGTACAGGTTTACAAACTCTGTCTTATACCTTGACATCAGAAAACATTTTGATGTCTGTGGAATATAAACTGCCTACTCAAGGGGTGTATTTGGAAGTAATCCACTATCTATTGTACTGTATATTTGCGTGTATGGTGCTCAGTTATTTATTCTAAAAAGTGCTTGTACTGTTATTAACTCATATAATATGTAAAATTATTTTTATGATTACAGGATTATTTGTGACTGTGTTTATTATTGATTTCTTTGGTAGAAAAAAGACAATGGCGTTTCAATTTTTTGTCTTCACTGTATTTGTCCTCTTAGTCAATATTTGTACAAAACGGTAAGTTATAATACTAACTTTTAATACAAAAGCCGAACCAAAGCCAAATACCAAAATCTCAAAGCCACTTGGAAAATTCTTGGACAAGACAAAATCGGATGAAAAAGTGGACCTCTCGTGAGAGGTAGTATCAGGTGATCCAGAAAGAGTGAGCATACTCTGCCAGTAACAGACCCTAAGCAAGAAGTTTGTGATAGCAGACAGTAACCATTGATCACAAATGTAGTAAAGTCACTGATTTTTGAAAACTATCGAAATGTGCAAAATGGTGTCTTGATGCATTTTATTACTATAATTATGTTTCCTATTTAAATGTTAAAATGGATAGCAAAAAGTCAAAGAGACTGTTATATAGCTTTACTTTCGGTTTCGCTATCCTACAATTCATTATGTTATCAAGAAACCAGAAAACTACATGACACAATTTGATTGGTTAAAAATAATGTCTTCAGAACAGGACCAAGTAGAAAATTTGTTCAATTAAAATGGAGAAGAAAATGTCAGAAACCAAAAAGAAATGAAATTTTGGTCTTATTTCAATGAGATTGTTGTGCTACAGGCTATGTACATTAAATTTTCTTCAAGAAATGGAATCTATAAAGATTAGACTGATTGCACTCTGCAGGACTTTGCCAGTATGGTGCTGATAACATCTTATTTCATTTTTTTTTTCAGAGTCTGGTTGACATTATTTCTGTTTATTGCTAGAGCATTTATATCAGGTGCTTTTCAAGCTGCTTATGTCTATACACCTGAGGTAAGGATCTGACACTAGTAAAAGTGTTTGTTAAATGAGATCATTGATTTTATTAGTGTATGAGCAATGTCAGTACAATTTATAACACAGTTAAGATTGTCTATATATTATCAGATCTGAGAATCTGACAATAGTTCATTAACAGTTTGTCGAATGATTTCAATGTTTTTATTAATTGAGTCTGTAAGCAAAGTCAGTACATGCAGAGTTATGATTTGTAAATAAAAATACCCTGTCAAATAGGTAATGAAGATATGAAAACTCCAGATGTAAAACTCCTGTGTAAATAAAACAATCCATATGGAATGAGATTAATATGTAATAATTTCAGATCTATCCCACATCTATGAGAGCATTAGGTTTGGGTGCGTGTAGTGGTATGGCTAGGATTGGTGCAATAATTACCCCCTTTATAGCTCAGGTAAGCTGTTCATAGCCAAACACCCTCTTTTCTCCTTTCCATTAGGAATATGCCAAGTAACAATTATAACATCAACAGAAAGTTAATGATGGATATTTGTGTCAATTATCTATGGGTGTTTATGATTTTATAAAGACATTCTTCAGACTCATATTTGAGACAATGAAAGCGAGGTTCATAATGCAAATTACGTCATCCATTGATGAGATGGTGATGTCATATGAATGAATAGCCTATTTGATGTCACTAAACACCTGATCAAAAGCGAGAAAATTGACTCCAAACTGTCCTTTCTCAGAAATGTGTACGGCAGTCACACAACATTACATTTGTTTGTTTGCATTATGAAATTTGTCTTAGATTCAACATGGCCGACGCGTGAATAAGGTCTATTTGGCACAGATTTGGAAAATGTTATAAAATTATGATTTCTGCTTCTGAAGCAAAGTGATCAGGATTTGCCCAAAATGATACTACCAAACATTGATAGCAGGGAAAGACTTTAAAACCTCTCTGTTATAAGTCTTGAGATTTGTAATAATTCTATTCTTACATTCTGTGTTATTTTATGTTATAGGTTCTGTTAAAAAAATCGTCATTTTTATCCATATCTATATATGGTTCCATGTGTTTAATAGCAACTATAGCAGCATTGCTGTTACCTATTGAAACTAAAGGCAGAGAAATGCAGGTATGTATTAAGTGTATAAGGTTAAAACTATCATGAAATGCATGATGATATATTTGTACATAAATTGTTTTAAAGATTTTTTTAAATGTAAGTTTTTGAGGTTAAAAATTTACCAAATACCCAATATCAGCTATGTATACCCTCTTAAATGGATGATTGACAAACTCACTTGTAGAATGGTATCAGGTGTGAGTCTTGCTGGTGTCAAATTCAATAAAGCTCTTGAGAGCTAAGGTTAAAGAATGACCTCTGGGATGACCTCTTGATATGTAATAATTGTACCAAATAAAAACTATTAACTCTCTGAAAGAGTTGATCAGTCAGGTTTTTGATAGCTTTAAAACTGCCAGTTGACCCAATTAATATTCAATTTATTTCAGGATGTTGGTCACGTAAAACAAGATAAAACAAAAGTAGAATCAAAAGATAAGTCATAATATTGTAAAGTTTTATTATTTCAATGTGTTCACCATTTTACTGTATATTGATGTAAATTTGTTCTTTTTTTTACTCATATAAAGAAGATATCACAGATATACTGATTTAAGCCTGATTTATCTATTTAAGCTAGCTTTATTTATTCTAGCAAGCTCTATTTAACCTAGGTCAACATGTTGTAAATATGGTGTTATCTTTCTTTGTGAATTATTACAATTTTTAATGTACATGATTGTGATATATTGATGATAAATGGATAGGTAAATTGATAATATTATGATAAATTGATAATATTATGATAAATTGTTAATATTATGATAAATTGTTAATATTATATTTGAAATTATTAAAAATTGATAATATTATGGTAAATTAATGATATTATGATAAATTGATGATATTATGATAAATTGTTCATATTATGATTAATTGGTAATATTATATTATAAATTATGAAAAATTGGTAATATTATGGTAAATTAATAATATTATGATAAATTGATGATATTATGGTAAATTAATAATATTATGATAAATTGATGATATTATGATAAATTGATAAATTGATAATATGATGATAAATTGATATTATATTTAAAATGATGATAAATTGATAATATTATGATAAATTGTTAATATAATGATATATTGATAATATTATGGTAAATTGATAATATAATGATAAATTAACCCTTCAATGGCATATTAGAAGCACAAGTTATAGATAAATAAGACGTTGAAGTAATAAATATTCCAGAAGTATATACCCATATAATTGTCTTATTTATTTATAATGATAAATTGATATTATATTTGAAATTATGATAAATTGACAATATCATGGTAAATTGATGATAATATTATGATAAATTGATAATATGATAAATTGATGATAATACTATGGTAAATTGACAATATCATGGTAAATTGATGAAAATATTATGATAAATTGATAATATTATGATGAATTGGTAATATTATGATAAACTGATAATATTATGATAAATTGATGATAATATCATGGTAAATTGATGATAATATTATGATTAATTGATGATAATATTATGATAAATTGATAATATTATGATAAATTGATGATAATATTATGATAAATTGATGATAATACTATGGTAAATTGACAATATCATGGTAAATTGATGATAATATTATGATAAATTGACAATATTATGATGAATTGGTAATATTATGATAAATTGATAATATAATGATAAATTGATAATATCATGATAAATTGATAATATCATGATAAATTGATAATACTATATTTGAAATTATGATGAATTGGTAATATTATGATAAATTGATAATATGATAAATTGATATATTATGATAAATTGATAATATGTTGTGATAACATTATCTATTATACAGTGTTATTAAATACAGTATAGTTTTTATTTATCTAGAATCTAGTAATATATAAGTTTGTGATTATTTCTTCTGATATAGATTTTGTTATTGTTGTTGTATATATTGTATTGTATTTATATACTTTGTTTACATTATTGGTATTGTTAATATACATGTTTAAATTATGATTATTGAGCTCTTATAACATTCCTGATGCATTCAATTCAACTAAAAAGAGAATAGCCATCTGTATCACTTATTATAATAAATCTGAAAAAGGTAAATTTCCTCTGCAGGTATATTATGTCTTCAGCTGTCTCATCAGAATGTTAACAGTCCAAAAATCTATGATGTTTTTATTGAATGGCATAAGATTAGAACTTGATGTCAGATTTTGATTTTATTCTCTCTAAACCAAGATATTCCATTAATATGTGACATTCCAGGTCAAGTTAAAAATATTCCATTTCCAAAATTATGAAATGATATTAACATTCCTAATAATTTATTAAAATGAAGTAAAAAAGCTTTAAAAGTTTATTTTTGATTGTATTTTACTCAAATTCTTTGCAACATAAAATGTGAATCCATTTTGTGTATTAGTTTTGATTGCTGAGTAAGAATTCTAATTGCTTTAGGTATTGAAGGAATATTTGAAATAATTGTCATAAATAATGATATATGTAAATTGCCATGAAGTAATGAATATTCATGATTAATTATATACATTATGTCTGGGCTTTAACTATAATTATAATTCTCAAATAAATTGCATTATGTAAATTCCCCATATGTTGAAATTGATTTAAATTGATGGATATTGTTACTTCAATAATGGTACTAGAAATAAAAAAGATTGATTTTTAATTAAGAGAATAAATGTGCAGTTAAAAATATTGTAAAGAGGTTTTCTAAAAATTGTATATGTTTCATGGACACTGATATGATCAATTTGTACCATTCCAATTTTCAAGCAGATGTCTGTGGTTCACTCGGAATGGAAATATCATAAGTATGTCAAATCATTTTTTTTTTAGTATTTGTATACTATAGGTTAGTACAATAAAAGGGTAATATTATAGGTACTTATTGCGATGTGTTCTATTTACTTATTATAGTTGTTATTACTTATGGGATAGGAATTGAAAATAATTTAGATGTTTTCTAGACAAATTTTTTTCTCAAAACAGTGTTTTCTGTACAAATTTCTGTCTCAAAACAGTGTTTTGATTACAGGACAAATTATTTTCGCATGTTATATTTAAATTAATATATTGATTATTGAACCTTAAAGGGAAGATAAAGAGGTAATCTAATTTTTTTTATGTGTATGAGGGACACTGATAGCATCATTTGGTACCATTCTAATTTTTAATCAGACGTCTGTTGGTTTATGCCATTCCACTAAAACTAAGCTTTTTTGATGTCACTATGATACTGCTTATTATAATCTGAGGGCAATTGGAATTGCAAGAAGCAAGGATGTCTGACTGAAAATTTGAATGATGTAAATTGTTGCTATCAGTGTCCCCAATACACATAAAAACCTTCACAACCCTTCAAGCATCCTATCTTTTGTTTGGAGCAACGAATCTGTGTTCCTAGTACAGCGATGTTAATTTATTAGTTTGTGTTCAATTTCTGCCTCATAACATATACTCAATATATATTTATTTTATATTTTTAATTCCCATATTTGAATCTCATTCAATTTTTAATTTTTTGTTCATACTATTTGTCTATGACCAGTGGCAGCACCAGTAGGGGTAATGGGCATAGTTTGCACCCCCACTTTATATTAAGCAATGATGAAAATATGATTTTTATACCTTTATGTCCCTAAATATGTGTTGGAATGCACCAAATCTTTTGAATTGTTTATTTCAGAGAACCCTTTCAGATGCTAAGTGAATGGTTTGCAACAAGATACCTCCCCAGAGTAGCCTTATTTTGAATTCAGCCTCGACAGTTGTCATCCCATTGAATCTGCCTGCCCCTCTATTTGTACCCCTAGTTTTGGAAGGCTGGTGCTGCCACTAGCTATAAGTAGTATTCCATTACATTAATAATTTAATCATAGATAACTTATAATTGTTAAATTTATATATAGATGTATTCATACTTTGTTGAAATTTTGTTATTGGTTGTGATAGAATTTAAAGTTTACAAATTTCTTGATGGCTCTTTACAAGATCATGGTATGATGAAAATCATCTGATACCTTGACATCATTAGCCACTTTTCTTGCAACATGTTTGTTTGAAACTGTAGTGATTTGATTGGATTGTATGCTAGTTAATACAGTCATTGAAAACATAGTGATTTGATTGGATTGTATGCTAGTTAATACAGTGATTTGATTTGATTGGATTGTATGCTAGTTAATACAGTCATTGACAACATAGTGATTTGATTGGATTGTATGCTAGTTAATACAATCATTGAAGACATAGTGATTTGATTGGATTGTATGCTAGTTAATACAGTGATTTGATTTGATTGGATTGTATGCTAGTGAATACAGTCATTGAAAACATAGTGATTTGATTGGATTGTATGCTAGCGAATACAGTCATTGAAAACATAGTGATTTGATTGGATTGTATGCTAGTTAATACAATCATTGAAAACATAGTGATTTGATTGGATTGTATGCTAGATAATACAGTGATTTGATTTGATTGGATTGTATGCTAGTTAATATAGTCATTGAAAACATAGTGATTTGATTGGATTGTATGCTAGTTAATACAGTCAATGAAAACATAGTGATTTGATTGGATTGTATGCTAGTTAATATAGTCATTGAAAACATAGTGATTTGAGTGGATTGTATGCTAGTTAATATAGTCATTGAAAACATAGTGATTTGATTGGATTGTATGCTAGTTAATACAGTGATTTGATTTGATTGGATTGTATGCTAGTGAATACAGTCATTGAAAACATAGTGATTTGATTGGATTGTATGCTAGTTAATACAGTCATTGAAAACATAGTGATTTGATTGGATTGTATGCTAGTTAATACAGTGATTTGATTTGATTGGATTGTATGCTAGTTAATATAGTCATTGAAAACATAGTGATTTGATTGGATTGTATGCTAGTTAATACAGTCATTGAAAACATAGTGATTTGATTGGATTGTATGCTAGTTAATACAGTCATTGAAAACATAGTGATTTGATTGGATTGTATGCTAGTTAATACAGTCATTGAAAACATAGTGATTTGATTGGATTGTATGCTAGTGAATACAGTCATTGAAAACAGTGATTTGATTGGATTGTATGCTAGTTAATACAGTCATTGAAAACATAGTGATTTGATTGGATTGTATGCTAGTTAATACAATCATTGAAAACATAGTGATTTGATTGGATTGTACGCTAGTTAATACAGTCATTGAAAACATAGTGATTTGATTGGATTGTATGCTAGCGAATACAGTCATTGAAAACATAGTGATTTGATTGGATTGTATGCTAGTTAATACAGTCATTGAAAACATAGTGATTTGATTGGATTGTACACTAGCAAATTTCAAATCATTGCATGTAAAAAAAAATCATGATACAAGACTATGGCATTAGATGAATTTTGTAATAGCTTGACATAGTGAAAATTCAACTTTCTTATTTGTGTTCTTTAAAATCAAAATTTTTGAGGTTACAAGTCTGAATCTTAGGTAGTATTTGATTGGTAAGTTCTGAAGCTTCCACCTGTTCCATTTCTAGATTTTATCGATTTCAACTTGCCAATCCTATCTAATTATGCTTGTGTTCTTTATTATCACAATGTTCATTGCTCAGGTTGAATTTTACACCAATTTTTTTTTTGAGATCATGAACAAAACCATAGAACAATTGTTCTTTTATTTTCTTTATTTAGAAATTTTGTGATGTGTTGTATGTAAATAAATTCACAAAAAAGTAAGTCTAGTTGTTGTGTTCAAACGTGGCAAAAAATACACCACCATTTTGTTTGTCACTTTGACTGTTGGTATTAGAATAATATTGCTTCTTCCATGTCTAAATTTCCTTTTCACCTCAGCCTGTGCTTTCGTAATTTCAATTATATCTTGTAGTTACCACTCTTACCTAGAGCAGAATCTAAGAAAAGTAGGAACTCAATTTCATTTAGAAATACCTTCCTGGTATTGGTCAGTTTAGCAGGTCAAAGGGACTAACATGGACAAAGTGTCTAGTTGACAATAAACTGAGACCCCATATGCTAAAGGTTTTTAGATTCCTGGAAAATTGGAAATCTCAAAGAGTTTTCTAATGCCTCTGGCAACATTTTCATTTGTTTTTCACAATAAAATGAGGCTTATAAACTACCTGCAAGATTTGATGATTCAAAATTGCCCTTAATAAGCCTAAACTGGAGCAGAAAGGTAACATTGAACTCATTTTCATTTACACCTCAGGAGCTCTATAAGTCACATTAGGAAAGAAAAACATTTTAATTAAGTACTAAATCTATTATACAAATGCCAAACAAATTCTAAAGATTAAATAATATCACAATAATATAGACCAGAATAATAACAAATCTTTGAATGTTCATAACAAATTGAGCAATAATGAAAAATACACCAACATGCCACTGTTTTTGTTTTTGAACCCAAAAAATTATTGCTAAATGTTAACAAAAGGACACATATGACATAAAAGTTCAAATCTGCCTCTATACCTGATTTTGATACAAAAAATAACGTGACATAAATGGTAAAGAGAGATAGTGATGGAATGACTAAACTAAAAAAATAACAATTTTTCCAAAATATCTGGATTTGGCTGATCAGATTTAAATAATTAGGTTTAAAAACCCTGCACCTGCTGTGCTGCAGAAAATCCCCATAAAACAGTGTCTAGTTTTTCTGTCTCTACACCAGCTGACAACTGTCACAATAACTGTGGAATAGAGGCAAATGTTATGTTTTAGTCGCATATACACAACATATCAAGTTAGTATTAATAAATTAAGCTTTAAAAATATAAAATTACAATACATATATTTATTTATTTATTTATTTAAAACTTCAGCAGTTTAAGCTTACGCAAAAAGTTTTGACCCTTTAGAGCTAAAATGCCCTTCACAGCCCCTAGACCAAATTATCAGGCTGTTGGTGATTTAGCTAACAAAAGTAGCTGTCATCTATCTGGATACAAAATACACATAGAGGTATAAGGATACACAATAGAGATAGATGTATAAGGATGTACAATACTGATAGATAACAAATTAAGAAAATGGAAACTATATAATGATAAGTTAATGTTATATTTTATGAGATATCATAATTTTGAGATATTGAATTTACTGTCAAGGGATACACTACAGATAGAACTGTAATGGGATACACTACAGATAGAACTGTAATGGGATACACTACAGATACAACTATAAGGATACACAATACAGATAGATGTATAGGAATATAGGAATATTGATAATCTATACCAATATAGATCTGTCAAAAAACAGAGGAATCTAAGGTAATATAGTAGTATATCTATAACATAACTGTATAATAATACAGAAAGGTTTATCAAAATATAGAAACTTTATCAAAATACAGATAGATCTATAAAAATACAGATAATCTTTGAAAATACGTAATCTTTAACAAAACAAAATAATTCTATGGTAAAATAAACATCAAACTTATCTATTGCTCTATGACCTAGGCCAGTGCTTTCATTGAAATTTGTCTCAATACACCATAATACCACTAGCATTTTATTAGGCCATTTCCTAAATCATCTAAAATGTGACATGTTATTTCTGACAAAAATCGTCTTAACAATTTAGATAAACATTTTCTACAAAATATCAAGTTTTTGTTGACAATGGTTACTATTTGCAGTTTGATTCATTTATAAAGTCATTATTCAAAATTAGACAACAGGACAATTTGCCATGAAAACAAAGGAACAAAAAAGGTTATTTCCAAAGCAAATAGTAATGATTTATAAGCTGAAGCTCAATTTGACCTATCTGTATAATTATAGAGCTATATCCTATTAACTCAAAATGTTTTTAAAATAGATTGCTGACATTTTAAAGGACATGAGCAATTAAAAATGAAAATAGTTATTTTAAGGGCTTAATAAATCATATTCGATATTCTTATAAACTTCACTGTCAATTCACATGATGTGGATATCTTTAAACTCTTCAGTCCATTAAAGATTCGTTAATAATTAGCACTGTGGTAGGTGTGGCCAGCGAATCAGGGCAAACTCACCCTTCCTAGCCACGTATTCTCGAAACGATCCTAGCGATGTCCTAGAATCAATGTAAGAAGATAAGAACCTAGGACATCCTAGCACTAAAATCGTTTCGAGAATACGCCACTGGTTTCATCAACTCCCTTTCAGAGTGTCAACATCGCTAATTCTTCGTATTTCATATTTTGGAAAAAGAACTTGATTTTATATATCATACCACATAAATGTCATAAAAAAGGAGTAATAAGAAAATAAGGTTTACTGTGGTTTAAGGGCAGACATTTCTTGAGATAGAACTTCAGTTACTTTGATACACTTCTGAGCCTCTTCTATATTCATCCGCTTTAAAGCGAGGGAGGCTGCTTCACGTACTGTAGATATTGGATCATTACGCCTGTAATATTAAATGTGAAGTAATGGTTTAAACTTTACCATTTGAAAAAATAAGAAGTGGGAAATTTTCAAGCGTGAAATAACACCTAAACCATTATTGAAATATAACAACTTAAGTTGCTCCAGATCATTTCTACCAGCATGTCCTTGGCAAAAACTCTTGGCATTGATCTTTTTTGGATTATTTGTACCCTATTACAGATGGGCCAACTGGAATAATGAGGGGAAGTGACTTAATCAAGGTCATCAGACTTTCACATGCTGACAGAAATTAGGAGCCACAACCACCATTTATGCGACATTTGCAAGCAAATTACATCATGCGACTTATTTAATGTTCACCTGCTGCCAACCAAGATTAGAACCCATAACCACCATTTGGTCAAATAATTCTGAAAATGATGTCATGTAAAGTTTCCAGTGCTCTGACTCCTCAAAAACTTAATCCTAATGGTAAAAATTGGTAAGAATTTCACTCACCACCTATTAACAACATGGTCTACAGCTTTCACAGCCTTAAGATATCCTAATGATAGGAGAGAACTTTCTCTAACCAATCTATCTTCATCTTCTAATAACCCCACTAACTTATCAACAGTATCACTTCGATTTTTACCTGAAATCATTTAAATTCGTAAAATTCTCGTGTTCAAAGGATATATCATTGGGTGGTACATCTATACAATGTCCAGCTTTTACAAACTTTGTACTTACACCTTGACTGCAATAAGCACCTTTATGACAGAATGCATTGATTTGATTGGATTGTATGCTAGCAAATACAGCCAATCATAGTCCTACAAACTTTCTATCAGGGCCACAGATTTGCTGTATTCGCTAGCAATCAAACCTCTGCATTTTCAAATTCCAGTGATACAAGAAAGGAGACTATGGCAGTAAAGGTATAAGAAGAAGTTCAGAATAGTAGCTTAGCATTGTGAAGATGTGAGTGGTATAAAAAAAACCGATTTTCTATGGAAGCACTAGCACAAGTCACAAGAAGAGAACATGTTTCACCAAACTACATGTTTTATTTCAGTGGTTCTTAACCTTTTTCAGTCTTCACACCCCTGGAACATTCACAAAAATTTGTTTCATCAACATTTCCAGCATTTGATGATGTGAGGTGCTCTCTCAATTCAAAACAAATTCTTCTTCTATGCCAATTGGCCACATATTGAACAGTTGCTCACTGGACATATTTACAGTTTGTGTCAATTACTAAATGTCATTTAAAGGTTATACTTATAGTAATTACCTGATTTAGCTAAAGCAATGGCTGCCACAGCTCTTATATTAGGATCATCATCTTTTAACATCTCTGTTAGACCTTGTACTATAGCAGGGAATGAAAACTGGCCTAGAAAATATAAGCACACAAAATTTAACTTTCATACTGGTTCATGCCAGAGTTTTATGAAGAAACTATCAAAAAGGCCCCCATGAAATTTCGCTGTTGATGTCGTACAAGCTCACATTTGTGACAGCATTTTTGAAAAAGAAATTGCTCTACAATTTTGGTTTGTAGATTCTCAAATTTCTAGTTTTAAAGTATTCGAGTCCCACTTTAGAAATTTGACTTGTTCTTACCTAAATTCTGAATAGTAGTAATTCTAAGTGTACTGTTCATATTGAAGACTTTACGTAATGACATGTGAGCTATAACATATTCCTGTAATCTGTTATAAAAACAGTGAGGATCAGCTTGTGGATTTTTGTTACAGAATCGGTCGTACACGCCACGCTGGATGGTTTTATTCAGATTAAATATATCTCGGTACATCAAATTCTTAAACAACTTCTGCTCCTTTTCATGAAATAATTCCAGAATTTTATTGTCATAATCTTGGTGAAATTTATCTTTAAATTCTGTCCATTGAACTTCTGATCTATTTTTGAAATGTCGGTCCCAGAAATCAAGAGCTTTTGGAGTTTTGGGTGGAGATTTTTCTTTTGATTTTGTTGGTGTTGTGTTACCAAGGTCTTCAGGTTCATCTTCGTTGTCTTCATTTGAATTGTGGGAAAATTGAGTATTGATGACTAAACCATGTGTTTCTATGTACCCTGATATGCCAATGTCTTCCGATATTTCCCGGGCATTGATGGATTCCAGTTGCTGCCTGATACTCTTTATAAGGTTGTTGGCACACTTTTCATATTCTGATATATTCTCAAGAATAGTCCAGTTGATTCTAGCTAGGATCAGTTTCCTGTAAAATGAAAAAAAAAGAAAAATTTGGGCAAATGAGAAAGGAGATCAGTGTGCAATAAGGGAAATTTGCAAGGACATTTTTATTAGCATATTCTTTGTCAATTTCCAATGATCCATAGTCCAGTTAATTCTAGCGAAGATAAGTTTCCTGTAAAATGAAATAAAAGAAAAATTTGGGCAAATGAGAAGGAAAAACACCATGCAGTGTGCAATAAGGGAAATTTTGCAAGGACAGTTATATTAGCATATTCTTTGTCAATTTCAAATAATCCATAGTCCAGTTAATTCTAGCGAAGATAAGTTTCCTGTAAAATGAAATAAAAGAAAAATTTGGGCAAATGAGAAGCGAAAACACCATGCAGTGTGCAATAAGGGAAATTTGCAAGGACATTTATATTAGCATATTCTTTGTCAATTTCCAACGGTCGCTTTACTGGCAGTTTGCGTATATATTGCATTATATTCTGTCAGGTAAACTGGCTGCTTGGGCTAAGAAGGTTAACTTGCATGGCATGATGCTTAATCTCATGATAAACCAGTAGAATTAGCAAGCAAGGTTGTAATGTTTTATCTCCCTGCTCAGTATTGAATCAGCAAAATTCTGTTTTAGTGACATAAATCTACATTTATAGTTATAAAAAATAAACGAAAGCAAAATACTTACGATCCTCCATCTAATTTATTAGAAATCTCTGGGAAAGATTTGAGACCAACAGGAAATATGGCTGAGTTTGATATGTAAGCTAAAGCTAACTCATCATTAAACAATTTATCTTCTGCCCATAGTTCACTAAGTACTGGTACATATACCTTTATAATATAATATAATATATAATCTCTGGGAAAGATTTGAGACCAACAGGAAATATGGCTGAGTTTGATATGTAAGCTAAAGCTATATAATATAATATAATATAATATAATATAATATAATATAATATAATATAATATAATATAATATAATATAATATAATATAATATAATATAATATAATATTAATAAACAGGTCTAATATAAGCAAAATGATATACATGTTAATTTTTTACTGAAAATAAAGATATGGATAGTGGTGAAGACATAGTTATTACCTTACATCCTAAGATAGCTTGACTCACTCTATCAGAATAGTAAGATTTCTCAGGATACCATACTGTAAAGTTGGCTTGACGTAAAGAGTCTAAAAAAATAAATAAAAGGATTTTAGATCTTTCAGATGTCCTTGGTTATTATATACCACTCCAATTTATGTGAAAAAAAATAAAGCCAAAAATCTCTCTAGGTGTCATGTCAACTATTTGACGAGTCGTCATTTTAACATTCAAATGCAGATAATTTGCGCAGCGTATTCTTTAAATGACCTTAGCGCTAAGATGTCCTAGAATCAAGGCTCAAATTGCGACGGTGAGATGCGAACACTATTACTGATTGGCTTAGTTAAAATATTCCCGTTTCTGAATTTTCAAAATGGCCTACCTGTCCCCTTAACCCTTTCAATACTTTCGACCATTCTACTAGCCAAATAATCATGTGATATTTACTGTAGCAGTCAGTAATGGAGCATTTTAACATTTTATCTTATTCACATTCAGTTTTGAAAGGGTTGAACAGATATCTTAGAGCTCTATTGATTACAAGAAGAAAACCATTTTTTCAATGTAAACGGGTCTATAGGATGGTGAGAACATAATAAAAACTTACCAACTAATCTTTTGATAAATTTAATTTCATCATCATGGCCTGTCACTACGATATCATATATTTCATTCGAGGCAGACATCACTTTGATTTTGTACTTGTATTCTCTGTAGGATTTGACAGTCTTTTAGATCCACAATCACTTATATCACCTAAACTTGTAGCTTCTATTACTGGAAAAAAATTTAAAATATGTAACAAAACGTTCTATAGTTTTTAATATTCTTATAATAGAGCATTAACTAATTTTCAGGTTTCCAGAAACAAAATCCAAATGATTAGACATATCATTAAATAATATTTCTTGCGGTTAGTTGCTAAAATAAAGCTAACTTAACAAAACAAATTTTATTATGGACCTTTTGTCTGAAACTTTTATAGCGTAAAATGAAAGTCTAATATAGAACTTTTATAAAATGATATCATGGTGTTAAAGATGGGTTTCCTTATTTTTAAGTGTCAAATTAAGCAAACTATTTGATTAATTGTGTTTCTATAGAATTATCCTGTATTCTTATTCATATCATTATATTCTTATAATGATTAAGAGTTTTTACCAATCATAAATGTCCTGGATAAACAAAAAAGACTTTTTGACCTTTCGTGATCGGCCACTCAATGGAATTTTGCTGGTAATTCTCTTCTAATTTAGCTAATTGTCAATTAATTATGGATATGTGAGACAAACTGGTATTTTTCCAAGAATTAAAACACCGCTACTTTCTATTCATACAAGTATTAGGTTTTTCATTTTCATAAATGAAAATAAGGAACCCATCTTTAAGTGAAACCTGAAAAATTTAAAGTTGAATCTTTCACTTTTTACTTGCTCTTAATTTAAATAATATAAGGCTGAGAGTACATTATAAAATAAAACAAGGTTCTATAGACAGGAATGTAAATTAAATTCACTATAGAAACACATATCACAACGTCAAGTACATTTGAGCTAATATAGACCTTGTATAAAAAAAACAATGCGACATGCTAGAGGTATCAAATGACATGTATGTATACTAAAATGTACTGGTACTTGAAATGTACAAGAACTGAATCTAGGTTCCTAAAGGCCAATTTATACTTCTTTAGCTTTATAACGACTTGATATTATTAGTTGAAATATTCAAAAAAAAAAAAATTTTATGTTTATTTTGCTTAAATCTGTACAGTAGTTTTCTTTTAAGCGTAACAAACTTTACGTAATATATTCAAATAGTTTGGCATTGAAAAATTGAAACCTGAATTTTTGTAGTTGAAACTTTCAGATAATTTAAGTGAAACAATTATCTATACTTTGGTGTAATGTTACCATATTTGAGCAAACAAAAGTTTTGACCTACAAAAAAGCAGAATTCCCCTTTTACAATGTGCAATCAGTAAAACAATATAAATCACAACAACAGTAAATAACATGCTATGTTGAACAGCTAAACAACAAACATAACACTTATAAGTTACTTATATCCCTACTATTTATCTTTATGTTAGCACTATTGTTACTATTTTCAGCAGAGTCCTTAGAATTTACCGAGGAGGCACAACCCATAGCATTTAAAATGCTAGATGTCTGTAAAGAAAAACATAAAAAACCCTAAAATAACAAAACAACCATTCCTTAGAGAGCACAAGATGTTTTTTCAGCTTTAAAATTGAATAACTGATATAACTGTATCTATAATTTAAAAACATTTTGTATGAAATTTCTTCAGAAATATTTAGCAGAGGAACTGTAAGTCAAATATAAAGAGACTTATACCGCTATGGTATGGCTATAATTTCTTGAACAGTCAAAAGAAAAGTTTTCTTCAGGTTTTATCATTACTAAACTTTACATTGGTATGAACTAAAAAACAAAAAAACAAAAGAATTGGATTGCGAAATACCACAAATGTAATATTTTTGGGTAGATTTAGTAGACACATTCCACATAGTTTATTTTCTGTTTTTTTAAGTGTCATTATCTTATAGGCCTAACCTAAAGCTGTAGCCTATTGAAATTATGGTAGGTCTTGATTCTTATTGAAAACTTACTTCTTTTCAGTATTCTGGGATTCTAATATCATACAAAATGCTACTAGAAAATTGATTTATTCTTGAAAATGGTGAATGTACAAAATCCTCTTGGTTGTTTACAAATTTTGACATAACATCCTGTCGTAGACTTGGTTTTCCAGATACAAATGCGCATTATGTCAAGGATCAGCTCATTTCTCTTGTCTAAATGGTAAAGAATTAAACAGTTTTGAATTTAATAAAAGAGGGGAAAATGCTCACTTGTTAATTGCTTTTTTGTGTTTTTCTTTTTTTTTTTTTAATTAAGTAGTGATTGGATATTTCAGGCATTAAAGTGATTTCTCTCCCTTGATTTAGCTCTTCTGAGAAAGAGAGCCTAAAAGGCCCATAGCCTCAGCTTTGAACATCCAGCAATATTTTCAACTGCCAATTCATCAACAGTAGCAGTCTGGACAACTCGGACATCTAAAATGGCAGCAACAAGATTGTTTTGCAGAAGCTTTGGATTAAAAAATAATTTTTCTTTTACAAATAGTGAGTCATCATCTCAAAATCTAACTAAGATAATGCCTTTTACTAAATTCATCGTCGATAGTTTAAAACTGTCTTGTAAGAGCACTGTTGCTGTCATGATTTTTGCAAGTTGTGTTCCAAAGAAGGGGCTATATCTATGTTGTTATGTAAAACTCTGATAATGAAAATGATAACAGATATAAATGTAATTAAAGGGACAGATGCGCAATTTTGGGGTGTTGATTTTATTCTTGAATATATGTAAATGATATGCAGAAGTACTAGAAATGTTAGAAAATCGCATAATTCCTTGAAAAAATACTTCAAAATAGGTATTTTACTCACTATTTCTACATATGTCTATAACACAGAGTATCTTAAAATTTGAGTTTGATTGATCAAATAGAATGGCACAGCTGACCCTTTAAGCATATCTTATTAATATTTTCAGAAACCATAAAAAGGGTAAAACTTGCTCAGAATAAGAAAGCTGTAAAGAGGTTTTCTAAAATTTGTATGTGTATCGAAGACACTGATAGCATCAATTTGCACCTTTCAAATTTTCAATCAGATGTCTGTGGTTCCTGCAATTCCACTAAAATTAAGTGTTTGATGAAATCATTAATCATGAAGGCCTTATGTGCCTCAACTAGTACAAGCATACTTCATCAAACGCATAATGTCATAAAATGTCTGATTGAAAATTGGATTGGTGCAAATTGATGCTATCAGTATCCCTGATACATATGAACAATTCAGGAAACCTCTCACAATCTCTTAAATTACAATGATTAAATAGATTTTTGTTGGTTTTTTGTAATTTTTAGGAAATCATGGAATAAGAAGGATCAGTTCTTTAGCAGAACTTCCTGAAACTCACCAATTATTGAAACAGACTTGTCAAGGCTTCTCTGATAATGAAATTGCACCAGTGGCTGCACAGTTAGATAAAGAACATACCTATCCAAAAAATCTGGTGAGACTTTTTATTTGGGGTATACATTTTTGAAAATGGTATAATTCCAGGCCTATTTTGATGAGTTAACTCAAGGATGTAGATGAGTTAACTCGAGGATGTAGACGAGTTAACTCAGTTTGTCGATGAGTTGACATGTAGAGGTTTTGACTGAACACCATTTCGAGAAGGGATATAGTCACAGTTCTTGATTTTATGAAGTCAGCATTTAAATGCTATTTTTTTACTTTTTAAGGTACAAAATGAGCGAGGATGTTACTTTTCATTTCAGGTCAAGAAACTAGGTGAGCTAGGATTACTATGTATTGATATTAGTGAAAGTGATGGAGGAACTGGTTTAGATTATTTAGCCTATAGTATAGCACTAGAAGAAATCAGTAGAGGGTGTGCTTCATTAGGATGTATTATGAGTGTCAATAATGTAAGCTTACTAAACTTTCTAATTTTGATGGATCCTAGACTTCGTCTTTATAGAGAAATTCCTCTATTTTTCTAGCCTGTGGGATTTTTTTTATTATTGAACAAAACCACTTAAAAATTGGTCTTAGAGTTGAAAATATTTCTATATAGGAAATTGCTTTCTAACCAGCTTAAAATTCTACAGAAATTGATTGTGAAAATGGAATGGTGCAAAAAGCTATTCTAATGCATATACCGTATGCAAAGCTCGAAAAGCTATTTTGAAGCCTTTGACATAGGAATATTTTTTAGTAATAGATGGTTTATAATTTTCTTTAATGGCATACCAGTATGAGCTTTCAGCTATGAGTTCTTATCTTTTTCTTTACAGTCTTTATATTTAGGTCCTATTAAACATTTTGCCAATGCTGATCAAAAGGAAACATTTCTTAAACCATTTTTAAATGGTGATCAAGTTGGTTGTTTTGCTTTAAGTGAACCTGGTATGTATGAGCTAATATAAACAATAAATTACTATCTTATTTTTCTTGAACTTTGTTACTATTTTCTTACTAATTCCTAAATGAATCTGAGCTTTTGTTTTCACTCCTTCAGAAATATATAGCCTCATCTTACTCGGGTTCCAAATTAATTTCATGTTTTTTTATCTCCCTTTTTTGCATTAATCTATTTTTGATTGTTTTGAAATTCTTCTAATTATCATGCTCAATTCTTTTTGAGTTGCTTTTGAAGTTGCTTAAATTTTGAACATAGTTGTAAGCTGATGAAAATAAGAGATGCTTTTTCCAAACGAAGTTTTTCTGTAGTTCAGATTGGTATTCAATCCTTTGGATGACCGCAATGATGCTGATTTTTTCTTTAATAAGGAAATGGAAGTGATGCAGGTGCAGCCTCAACAACAGCTACATTAGATGGTGATTCATGGGTATTAAATGGTACCAAATCATGGATCACTAATGGGTATGAAGCCTCAGCAACAGTAGTATTTGCCACCACAGACAAAAGTTTGAAACATAAGGTGTGGTGGTTTAATCAGTTTTAACAGTGATATGGGTTGATAGATATTCTCCATATATAAAGATTTTGTACATGTACAAAAAGACTACATGCTATTTAGATATTTGTATCTAAGGGACAATAAACAATGTGCTGCAAACTTTACATATAAAGACACTCTTGAAATTCCGTCCAAATTGTCATATTGTCATGTTCTATCATATGTTCCCTCATTGTACACTGCATTGTGTCTTCAATAGCCTAATCTTGATAAAAAATAAATGTGATATAAAGACAATTTCATTTCATTTTAGGGAATAAGTGCCTTTTTGGTTCCTAAGCCAACCCCAGGTTTAACTTTAGGTAAGAAAGAAGATAAATTAGGTATAAGAGCAACATCTACTTGTAATCTGATATTTGATGAATGTAGAATTCCTAAAGAAAATTTATTAGGAGAAACTGGACTTGGTTTTAAGATTGCTATGGTTAGTCTTATTTTGCATTTTCTGTGTGCTGGTCTAATGGAATAATGAGGGGTGACGATTTTCACTTTCACAAGCTAACAGAGAACATACCCTATTATGACATTCTATGACATTCAGTTTGATGCAAACAAGCAAATGCAATCAGATTAAAATGTTAAAAACTGTTACATCTGTGTGGGAGAATTGTCAGGGTTGGGCTCATAGTCAATTCATTCCATATGTAGAATGATATTTGGTGACACCCCTAAACCCAAACTGCTTGAAATACCACTGTTGCTCTTGCAAATAAATTGAGTGACACATAGCAATTTAAGTACAGTAATGTTATGTCTGGCTTATGAATCTAAAAGGCCAAAATGACATATTCCCTTTATAGTACTCCTATCTTGTGCTGTATACACAAGACTTAAGATCAAATCACATTGTGTAACTTATCTTTTCAGCAAACTTTAGATGCAGGTAGAATAGGTATTGCTAGTCAAGCATTAGGCATTGGTCAGGTAATTATTAATACTTAATTATTCTAATGGACTATTGGTAACAGACTGGTTTCTACTGGCCATGCATGAAACTCAAACATTATTCATATGAATCTTTTAACTATAAAGTGCCAATTAGCCCTAATTATCATAAAAATTTGTGGCATGAACTATAGTGTTTGTAGTGCCCCCCCACAGCATTATTGTCTTCATGGAAGAATTATAAAATCTTCTTTTTTCAATGATTTTTGCATCTTACTCAGACTTAGACAGATGGAAGTTATACTTAATCAATATTTTGAGAAAACAAGAATTGAAAAATATAAGAAATAAAAAGAGAAAGAATTTTTTTAACACAATTCTTGTTATTTTGAAGCGTATTTGAATACATGAAAAAAGTATATTCTGATATTATTTCTATTTAAGGCTGCTATTGATTGTGCAATAGATTATGCTACAAAGAGGAAAGCTTTTGGAGCTCCCATCTCTAAAATGCAGGCAATTCAGGTAATTTTATTTCTAATTTAATTAATTGATTCATTAATTAAGAAATACCTGATTCTCCACTGTGCATAGGTATTTCAGCTCTGTATTCCTTTCAGTGAAATAATGTATTGAAATATTTTTTAGACTAAACTAGCAGATATGGAGTTAAAGTTGGAATCTGCTAGACTATTGACTTATAAAGCAGCTTTATTGAAAGACTCAGGGAAACCATACACTAAGGTATTTATCATGTCATTATTATTACAATCTATATCAAAACCAGTGTTTTGCTAAACTAGGGTCAGATCTTGACACAAGTCGAGAAAGTTCTATTAGATTTGAAATCACATTGCCAGTTAGGTGTACCCCTAAAAAAAAATTGCATTTGCTTAAGAGTTCATTTTGTAATTCTGGACATGTTAAACTTATTTCATTATCATTGTTGTCCAGATTTACTTTTTAGTTTTGGATCTAAATAGTTTCTATTTCTTTCATGCATGAAACTGATCTATTAAATTTATGATTCTGTTTGAATTTATTTTACAGCATGCAGCTATGGCTAAATTAGCAGCTTCTGAAACAGCTACATATAACTCACATCAGGTTTGTTATCATATCATATCATCAATGAAATTATCTTCCCTTTTCATTTCATGATAATCCACATATATTCTAGGTAAACTAGACACTGTAAGCTTATAGACTTTCAAAATTCAATTTGGTTTGAAATTCCAAATAATTTGAAGACTTAAAAATATTACAGATTGGTGATTTCCAGCATTTGCTACTGGGAGGACACCTTTAAACTGTTTATTTGTGTTTACAGTGTATACAGATATTAGGCGGTATGGGCTATGTAACTGATATGCCTGCAGAGAGACATTATCGTGATGCTAGAATTACAGAGATCTATGAAGGTACAAGTGAAATACAGAGACTAGTTATTGCTGGTAGTTTATTGAAGGAATACAGTATGAAGAACTAAAGCTCACATAACGTTGCTCAAAATTATCGAAGAATTTTTGTCTCAAATTTAAAAACTTTAAACTCAATCCAAGAAAAAAAAAATGAAGCATTTATTTGAGAATTCAATATATGCATTAAAAAGTAGGGAAATTTATCTAAAATAAAAAAGAAAAATTTAAGGTTTGATTTCAAATACTTTTATGAAATTACACAAAGTGACTTTAAATGCAGGTGAACAAGAGCTTAAAGATAATATGTTAAAGAGCAAGCTCTCAAATGTTCACCAGAAATATTATTGACTTGCAGTGATTTAATTAACAAACTTGACCTTATAATAATTGTATTATTGTTAATTATTAATTATAAGTTATGTATATATGATTGTTATTGTATGTGAGATATAAATTCTATTTATAATATAAAATTTGAGTGAATGTTATAATGAAATTATTATTTCATATATTGATTAAATTTTTAAACCACAGCTAAGAGATTGTTTAATTATTCATAAAAATATTTTGAAGGGCCAGTATGCAAAATTTTCATTGTCAGTCTTGGTAACCATTTGACCAATTGTACTTAAGTCTCAGAAACAGGAATTTTTTTAGCTTTTGTCTGAGCAAAGTAAAAAGTTTTTTGAATTTTTCCTATTATTTTTATGAGAATATAAAAAGCAGCCTCAAAATAGTACTGTTATTCTTAGAATGTCTTTGTGTTGATAAAAATATAAGCATAAGCACACATTATATCTTCAAAATTTGTTTTTACAGAGGACAATTTCAGCCCCAATTTTTGACTTTTGGGTTGAAATTTCTATTAGAGAAATGTGTTTCTTTCCATTGTAAACTTACAAAAGATTATAATTTATATTTTTATCAACGCAAAGACATTCTAAGACTATCAGTAATATTTTGAGGCTGATATTCCAATTCACTAAAAAAAATATCGAAAAAATTCAAAAAATTTTTTAATTTGCTCAGACAATACGCTAATCAGTAATAACGTTCACATTTCACCACCCAAATTCCAAACCAAGTCACAGAGTGTTATCAGGTGTTCCCAAAGAGAACATACTTCTTATCATAGTGGAGCTAAATTTACAAAAGCTTTTGGACCCAAAGCGAATTGTTAGAATAAAATATCCACAATTCTTGATAACTTGAGCTGGACTTTAACACCCTGTCATTTACATCTCCAGACAATATATTGTAATTAACCCTTCAGCTACTATAGTTCATTAATAATATATTGTATATAGAAAATACTACATCTTGAGGTTAAACCTGCCAATTGTTACATACACCGTATAAAGATCTATTGATCTATTTTAGATATGTGACTGATGTGTTAAATTATTATGTAATCGGCTATTGATCTTATCTAAAATAATATACTGCTCTACAGTTGATGTATTGAGCACTATTTTAACAGTGAAAATAACTTTTTGTATTAAAATAATAAACATATAAGTATTCTTTAAAGGGGTATCGATTACCAGCAAGCTATCAGAAATCATATAAATACTTAATAAAAATCATGTCCAAATTTGTAATTCCATGAGTTATTTTTGTGTCATAGAAGTATATAATTGCTTTGATCAGTTGTGTGGGATAACTGCCAAGGGATGATAATCGATTATGTATCCAGCTCTATTCTCCTACTGATGATAAAACTTTCTCAAACTTATCATTGTTTCATATCAAAAATGAAAATTCTAATGACAAGCATGATTAAAATTGAATGAATGGAGTCTTATGTCCTATTTTTCTGTACCAGATTGGACTGAAAGAGAGTGTCAATACCATGCAGTGCGCAATTAGGCCGATGTTGCCAAAACAGCAGCATTTTGTCAGGGATCTTTAATGTGCACAGCCTGTAGCACACAGTTTTATTGTCTGATCCTATAAATTTGACTTTTCATTTAAAAGTTGAAATTCCATTGACCAGGGTGTTTGAAACAACTGTGGACTGCTTAAATCGAGCTTCAGCTCTTAAGCCAAATATTTACACAAACGAATACCTTAAAAATGTCAAGAGCCTGTGTTTGTTTCTGATAATCTCTTCAAGATTTGATGTGTTAATTTAGACACATACCTTCAAATACTAAAACAATAGAATTTTAGATTAACCCTCTAGCAACATTTAAATTAGGATAAGTTACATCACGAATAGGGTGATAATAATAAGGTGCCTCAGGGTTAAGGCTGCCAATTGTTTTAAGACCATATGAGATATTGTTAAACAATTGATGATAATGATAATAAAAGCCTGTTATGTAACATAAATGACTGATTATGTTCTTATCATATCTGAAGACACATTGATTGACAACATAATTAAAGATCTAACTTGAAACCTATAGTCGGTTGTTGTTCTCAAAAGACAATACCCAAAGCCCTTGTGTGCTTTAGTCTAAGGATCCCTAGACATTTGGAAATCAAAAAAAAAGTAGCAAATGCAACTGCCCAAGCAGTGCAATAAGAATTAGACCAAATTTATTTTATTTATATATAGCTACTTCAATTAGGTTGAAGTGGGTCAAAAGGTTCAAGAGGGCTGGCATTAGACCCTAACTGAAGTGGCTGCATTGAAAAAAAAAATTGAACAAAAGTTTGGTCTAATGTTAATTATTATATTACTGCATGGTCTTCATTAGCCCAATCAAGTGCAAAAGAGTAAGATGTAACACTCCATTCATTTCTTGAACACAATACAAATCTGACTTGTATAGGTATTTTCAATGAAATTTTATTCTACCCTAACTACAAAATTGGTTGCAATTACTAGTTATTCTATGCAAAAAATAAAGAGAACATCTCTAAGTTAAGATTTAAATCAGACCAGATGACCTCAAATATCTCAACTCAACTATAAAAGTTAACAACATAACACACATCTAGAAATAAATAAATTTTATCTATGGTAAAAACAAACATACAATACACAAACAATCCATAATCTTTCAAGTATTAATATGACAAAGATGAGATTTTAAAAGGTAATAAAACTAGCTGTAGTTTACATGGAAATGCCTATCAAATATTCAAAGATTTATGTCCTGAAGCATTATCACAAAAAACAGCAAATATCTTGGTGAGGTGAATACACAATCACTATTGGTCTTTGATTCCAAATCATTTTTTTTTTTATATCAAGTGATGTAAACTCTTAATCACAAAATATCATAATGATTTATAACACTATACACATGAATGGTTATGAATGACTCCAATATACACTGCACAATGGTTTAATTTTCTTTCTTTTCTCGATATTTTGGTATAGGATGTTTTTTACAATCACCATAATACTGATTTAGATCAAATTCTCTTATCACATTTTCCTGCAAAGAAACAAGTTATACCAACAATAGCTTATAATCATATGTTTTTAATAACTTATATTTCTAATTTAGACACTTACGTCAGGGTCTAAAGTTGGGCCTCCTATCATTTGTCAGTTCGATGAGGGGCATTCAATGTCTAATGCTTTCCAGAATATACAGTTTGTTCGTGTCACAAAATCCCAGCATTGGAGAGGGCAGAAATTGGATTGGCTGGCGGTATCATCAAACTCATGAATGTTCAAGTGACCTTAACTGAACTGGGTAAATTAAAAATAATTTTTTAATTTTAAATAGACTGACAAATGTCTTTGCTTATTTACATGAATATGAGTCAAAAATCAGTTGGATATCTTGTGAATTTATTGAAAAATAAAGGCTTATACTCATACCTTAGTCCACATGAACTTAGCTGTCTGTTTTCCATTAGTTAAAGGTCTTCGTATTTTGTCTTTACCATTTTCAAAGAGAATAACTGTAGGTAATTGTCTAGACCAAGATGAACAATCTATCTTATACCTATCATAATAAATGAAGAGTTATTTGATTCTATTGAATGGTTACATACATCCCATAATAAATTTAACATTTTGATTTTTCAATGGTGTAGATGTTAGTTGACATCCAACCCTTGATCCAACTGATCTATATTCTTCTTCACAATTTGATTAAGTCCTCAGCAAAGTTTATAAGTGTTTCTGTAGGGATTGGCATTTTGAATAGTTTTCTTACAGTACATTTGCAAATAGTAGGAAAAGAACAGTCTTATAAAAAAAGTCATTGTTTGGTCATTTCATGAAAACAGTGAAGTTTTAAGCTAGACCTACCAACTAACATCTCATCCAAGTGTCATTGAATTCTTTCAAAGTGTTATAGATAACTGAATTTGGATAGCAGTTCTTTTAAAGAAGAAATGAAATGAATGGAGTTTTACATCCTACTTTTCTGCACCATGTGGGCTAATGATGACGGGCAACGCGATGCAGGGTGCAATGTTGGAAATTTTGCCAGGACAGTGGCATTTTTTCGATTTTCAACTGTCGAGGGATCTCTAACGTGCACAGCCTGTGGCACACAGGGCTTTAAAGAAGAAGAGATAAAAATCAAAATTTTTTAAACTTACTTCTCAGCCACTGCGGGATATTTTGATATATCCATCTTGGCAAACTTTAAATTATCTAAATGATATCTGCAAATAAATGAAAGCATAGACTCCTTTGAATATCATATTTTAATTCATGTGTAACAATATCACTTAACATTCTTAACAACCAGATATGAATATGAAGTCTGACTTTTTTTCCCTGCGCAGTGAGTGTGCTTTTGTTGAAACATCTAAAAACAAATATTGGAAACTTGTCCAGATGAGAATTGTGTGGTTGAAAAAAAGTATTGGCAGTTCGAGAAGAGCTTTAGTCTTTAAGCTGACCAGATTGATTTATCAATTGTGTGCAAATAACATTTTATTCATATATAAGAGACCATAAGAAGGGTTAGTAATTCAATACTTACTCATTACTAATCTGCGAAAAAATGGAAGCAAATGTAACACAAGGTGGTGACCAGGCAGCATAAAATGTTACAACCCAAATTATTCTTTTATCTTTCTCTAATTCTTCCTAAAATCAATACATGTTAACAGATATTATGATAGGTGTGCAATTTTTTGGGGTTGATTTGAGTCTTGAATATTTGAAAATAGTCTTCAGAAGTACTAGAAATGTACAAAAATCACATAATTCTTTTAAAAATACTGGACACACATGGATTTGAAGGCTCAAAATTTGACAGTGAGCTGTGAACATTATTACTGATTAACTGCTAAAAGAAATTCCAGTTTCTGTGACTAAAGTATGATTGGTCAAACAAATGGCCTACCTGTCCCTTGGCTAATATAAACTTAGCCAAACAATTTTTTACACTATTTGTAACAATACAAACATAGTTCTTGGATAGTAATAGGAGTGAATAAGTTCATAAAAACTCCTATGTAAAGTGCCGACTAAAGTCATGTTTAAACTTTGACTTGCTTCTATCATACATAAATATATTTCTATTGAGGAATTGTTTATGCAAGGCTGATAATAAACTACTAGTTATTATGATGTTGGTAATCTATATATTTCTACCAGCTGGTCATTGATTAAAATATATATCAAGGCTTTACTTACATCTAAATGACTAGCTCTGAAATAAGTGATATATTCTGGACCTTGATATGTTGGTTCAGGGATGAATATAAAGTGTACTGAAATTGAAAGTAACAATAAAAATACATGGCTTTAATTTAAGCTTTATGGAACACAAGCAACAGTTTATGGAAACAGCAATAACAGCAGAATGGTTCATAATATCTAACCAAAGCACTCTCAGACTAGTATCCTTAAGAAACACTGGTATATTTCATAAACCTTTACATTACATTTATATATCAGCTTCAGTTCAATTCTGGCAGCTATTATAAAGTATATTATGTTTATTATCCAAGGGTAGCATTCAATGAAAGGTGTGTGTAATGTACAATCACTCCACTTTTCTTTGACCTTTACATATTGCATAATTATGTGGGATAAGCGAAACAGATATGTAAAGCAGAATCACTAGGTTTCAGAATATCAGTCATCATAGGTATACAATATTTCTATGTACTTACAAATACACAAACCACCAAATACAGTTCCATATAGAGGATTTGCTTTAAAAAACATAACAGTATTCAACATCTTTGTAAAAAGACAAGCTGTATTGATGTAATCCACAAAGTATGCTGAAATCAGAGGGTTCAAAATTTAAAATTCTAATACGGTGGTATTCCAACATTCAACATGCAAAATTCAACAGACTTGTATCACAATACAAAATACTATTGTATTTTATATTGATTACTGTATAAACAACCATAGTTTTGAAGATTTCTCTAGTTTGCACAATTAAAGTGGCTATACAACATAGAGCACCATTTCTCATATATAGCAAAGGTTGTGTAGAATCAAATGAAATGCCATTGCAATAGTCCGGTAGAATAATGGCAAAAACACAAATTTACTTACTCAATTTTTTGGTCTTTAAGACAATTACACATCCAAGAAATGTTATCCACTCCCATTCTTGCTATAATTACATAAAATTTTGTAATGAATCAAACTACTGTTCGTGATAATTAAAATCTTAATTTTCAAATTCATTCCTTCAAATTTTGTAAATGTAGGCCTACCCATAAAGGTCTACAGATTTTACTTGATTTTATGAGCTTATTTAGGTAGAGCTTATTTAGGTAGAACTTATGTATAGAGCTTAAAATAAATTTCCATTATGCAATGTCACCTTGAAAAGATATAAGAAGAAACTTCTTGAGTCTCATGGTCACGGTTCGGTGAACATTAAAAAAACGAACTGTCGAAAAACTCAAATATCTGGAAAATATAATGAACTACTCACCAATTCCAAAGAACAATCAAAAAACAAATAAGAGCAGACTATAGGTATTGTCTTTAGAAGTATATATGACGATGCTAAGAATATATTAGTAGCATGGTGAGGGGAAAGAAGCGTCTTCGTCCCGAATATCAACTCGTCGAACATCTTTCGTCTTCTAAAATGAAAGTTGTCATTGAAACCGGAAACATGTGTTCAAGGGAATTAACTCTTAAAGATCTTGCGAGAAAGGTTTAATAATCGATAAGACAACCACAAATTACATTTTAACCATCTGAAAGACTCTTCTATGTTCTATGTCCAATGACAATCATTTCTTATGTATATTTTCTATGTTTCAAGTTAATATTTGATGTAAATTCTGCATCATTTCAAAGAAACTAAAATGTAAATTTATTTATCGCTTAGTTTTATTTTCAAGATGGCTGCGCCCATGTCACGTATGTGTTTACATTTTGTGGTTATCTTCATTCTGACATTATAAGCCACAAAGGAACTAGTTATAATGGAAAATTTATATTCAACGTTAGGATGTCAAAACTTCGTTGGGGTAGAAGAGTTAAGAAGGTCATATCTTACTTTAGTGAAAGAATTTCATCCTGATAAGCACATAGACGAAATCGGACACTCGTCAAATTGTCCCAATGAGATTCACAAACCTGATGTTAAAGAGGGACAAAATGGACAAACGGTTGCGGGCAACAGACTTGAAAAATTCATAGCTATCGATAAAGCTTGGAAAATATTGAAAGATATAGAATTGAAGGAGAAGTATGATTTAGTTTTAAAGCAAAGACTTTTATGCCAGGATTGGCCCATTCAAGATGAACTTGAAATTAATGAGTTTGATGAAGACACACCCAATTATGTTCACGTGTGCCGTTGTGGTGGAAAATATATTTTGAATTCTACTGATGTTCGATTTCATTTAGACTATGTTTGCTGTGATAGTTGTTCTTTGTGTGTAAAAATTTTATATTTACAAGAATTTCCTGATTAAAAATTTAATTTAATATTTTCAGACTCGTTCTTTCTTTTTAGCCTTATGATCAATATCAGGAAAAAGAGCTTTAAGTTTTATAAGCCTCCTTATTCACATAAGAAATAATCAAGCTGATTTCCACACTGAGATTTAATGCTGGTCAAAATCAGATCAAAGCCATCAAATATATATTGGTCTTGGAAGATTTGTAAATAGGAACATTTGTAAATAGCAGCATTTTAGAACTGTACGAAATCTTTCAAATATACCTTAAACTGGAAATTTCACTTTCTTGAAAGTTCCCGTTTCTGAGACTAAGGCACAGCTGATCGAACGGATGGCGAACACGCCCCTTTAATTTTAATCTATATGTTTACCACATTTTTTTAACAATAGTTTTCTTTGATTAGCATTAATTCTGATCAATTTTAATGCAACAAAAACGACTGCTGTATAGCAGATGAACTACTATAGCCGACAATTATCAAAGACAAAACCCGTATTTGAATACACTGGGTTAAGGAACTTAACACATGAATAATTTATTTGATTCGTATCATTAATTTTTAGATTTCTCTCATTCTCGTCATTCATTGATAGAAATAGACCATCGTCATTTATTCAAAAGTTTGTTTCTAAAAAATGAAAAATTTCCCAATGTCTCCTTAGTGTACATTTGGTTAAAAGCCAATCATAGAATCATCCCACAATTTTTATCATTTTCATGCTTACACTACATTTTATATTGAAAGAAACATTCTATAATAGTACCGATGATTGCCTAATGAGATGAGATTACACAACGAAATCTTCCCTTCCTAACTGAGTTAGAATCAGCTTTAAGGAAACTGCCGAGGATAGCCGAACGTAACTCAAACACATTTTTTTTTTGTTTAAGCGACTGATTAACGTAAAAGCTAGCAACTAAAACTCAACTGAGATTTATTATTTAAAGTTAAATTTCCAATCACAGTAATTCTGCAGTCTGGATTGTCCAGACATTAAAAATGGCACAAAATTGTTGATACCAATTTTAATGGGGATGTTCCTTTAAATGGTTTAAGCCCAAGTTTTTTTTCTCTCGAGATTATGATCTTTTTCTGATTCCAATTAATTTTTTTAATGTTTGATTTCCAGAATTGATTTCAATTGTCATTCAATTTCTAAAATCAATGTTTATATACTTATTACATGAGAGTAAATTGGATGATAGAAGTAATGTTATTAATTATACCGTGTATCTAAAAAATATCAAAAAAAAAAAAAATAGGTTTTCACTATCTTGACGACGTTCGGATGTGTCCCTAAGGCGCGGGCCTACGCACGATCTTGATCGGCAATTTTTGTCGCCAGCTTCACCGACCGGCTGCGGGCACACGATGAATCAATTGAGTCAGTTGTTTTCCACTATGTTGATAATCACGCGCAGAGCATGCAATTCAAAAGAACTTGAATCTGGTTGGATACGAACCCTCTGTCTTGCAGACGATAAAATTATTGGAGATAAGTATCAAACATATTTGATTTGATAAATCCTGTAACATAGATCTTGTCGTGGAAGCGCGGGCACAGGCGAGATTTTTTACTCAAGGTTCGATTTTTGAAGACTGCTCGTGAGCCCGCATCATAACGGAAAGTGGGAGACCGGAAAATCTTTATTAAGTGGTCGACCTATCATAGGGATCCTTCACCTATCAGCTAATTATGAGTAAATAATGAACTTGTGGAACAAACTGGTATTTTTCCAAATCACCAGAACATAGCCTATGTTATGTTGTGTTATGTTACGTAGAAATGAAACCTTCAAATCCACACGTGTGTTCAGAATTATCTTCGTCTGAAAGTCAGGAACACGACTCTTTTCACAAGACTCTGCCAAAATATAGAAAAGACATATATTTCTTGTTAGGGGTATTTGTGAAGGAATTAGGCATTTTTGTATATGTCTTGTACTTTTGAAGACTAGTCCAATTTTACCTCCGTCTCCAGGTCATTCTGACCAGAGAATACTGTCATTGCGCAAGCACAGATCTCTATAGGTTTTGGAAAACATGTTAGAATTTTAGGGACTTCTCGTACAGTAATAAGGACTATAAGTCATCATGATAAGAATGAAAAAATATGATGTATAAGAGCACAATTATTAAAGCCTTTATCTCATTATGACGTTACATTAGATTTGACGTTATAATAATAATTGTTTTGACGTCATTTTGATTGTTCTTCATTATTATCAGAATATTTCAGATAATAAGACTCTATTTTACTGCAGTCTGCAATAAAATACTTTTTAGTGGAATATTTTTCACCGAAGAACATCGTTTTACAGATATTACTTAGTTCTATTTGGTAAGTTAAAATCTCTATCAGAATATCATTCCTTTTAGCTCTATAAGTTTAAACGCAACAAACAATATTTGACAAATTTCATTCTAACTTTTAGATTGCCTTCATTGGTCCAAACAGGTACAGAAAAGTAACTCCATTTAATTTATTTTCTACACATTTTAGGTTTATTTTCAATGTTTATTTCAGTAAAGAAATGGATTCACAAGAAGAGTCTAGTAAAGAAACCTCGGGAAGTGGAGATTTTGATTTTGATGATCAGATGAACCTTTCACTTTCACCAGGTCAAAATCCTAAAACCGGTAAGATTATTTATTTAGACTGGAGAAATTATAATTAGCATTCTGTCTAAATAAAAAAAAAGATGTTATCATTATTTAAATGTTACAATGATCCGCAATAGGGCCGTTGGTGTTGTTGATCCCTGGACAGTTTAAAATGAAAAAAACAGGCAGGCTAAACGACTGTCCGACAAGATTCCTCTCTTGTGCAAAAGAAATAGGTAAAACGTGAAACACCACTTCATTTGTTTATTGCAGAAGATTCGTCCATGAATTTACACCAAGCAAATACTCGCCCAGCCTTAAAACACGGACTGGATTGTTTGATAGAAGAGGATGAAGATGTAGATTATCCTCCACCCAGACTAATTACTGGTAGGTAAACTTATTCCTCTCTTAGACTAATTACTGGTAGGTTAACTATTCTTGTAGACTAATTACTGGTAGGTAAACTTATTCCTCTCTTAGACTAATTACTGGTAGGTAAACTATTCTTGTAGACTAATTACTGGTAGGTAAACTATTCTTGTAGACTATTTACTGGTAGATAAACTATTCTTGTAGACTAATTACTGGTAGATAAACTATTCTTCTCTTAGACTAATTACTGGTAGATAAACTATTCTTCTCTTAGACTAATTACTGGTAGATAAACTATTCTTCTCTTAGACTAATTACTGGTAGGTAAACTATTCTTCTCTTAGACTAATTACTGGTAGGTAAACTATAATTCTTCTCTTAGACTAATTACTGGTAGGTAAACTATTCTTCTCTTAGACTAATTACTGGTAGGTAAACTATAATTCTTCTCTTAGACTAATTACTGGTAGGTAAACTATAATTCTACTCTTATACTAATTACTGGTAGGTAAACTATTCTTCTCTTAGACTAATTACTGGTAGGTAAACTATTCTTCTCTTAGACTAATTACTGGTAAGTAAACTATTCTTCTCTTAGACTAATTACTGGTAGGTAAACTATTCTTCTCTTAGACTAATTACTGGTAAGTAAACTATTCTTCTCTTAGACTAATTACTGGTAGGTAAACTATTCTTGTAGACTAATTACTGGTAGGTAAACTATTCTTCTCTTAGACTAATTACTGGTAAGTAAACTATTCTTCTCTTAGACTAATTACTGGTAGGTAAACTATTCTTCTCTTAGACTAATTACCGGAAGATAAACTATTCTTCTCCCGGACTAATTACTGTCAAGTAAACTGTTTTTCCCCTCTATTCCTATTGATACATGATATTGATCAATTATTTCTTAACATTTGTATTAAATGTTTTATATTTACCATTTGTAGGTCTACCAGAGCCTATTAATGTAGATGATTCTGTAAATAAACGGAGACCTAAGAGGCAAGAGATTGTTTCTCCTAAAGGTAGGTTCAAGAACAATAACAAAATAAGTTACACCATTACAACCGCACAGACAAGCACAGACAAGCACAGACCCCTTTATGGGTAGGGGGTGTATATCACAATCCGCCTGTTGAAAGTAAGGTTGGAGATATTTTATCCTGGTTAATCCGAATCTTACTTGACCACTTATAACTTTAAGGGACAGATTCGCCATTTTTTGGAGTTGATCTGGGTCTTGAATGTAGGTAATAAGGCTTCAGAAGTACTAGAAATGTACGAAAATCGCATAATTCCTTCAAAAATACCCAAAATAAGGAATTTCTCTTTCTATTTCTATATATGTATGTCTTTACTACATATGGCGGTCTCTAGAAAAGAGGAATCGTCTTTTTACTTTCTAACGTGGATAATTCTGGACACGGGTTTAAAGGCTCAAATTTGACGGTGAGCTGTGAACACTATTACTGATTAGCTTAGCTAATAATTACCGTTTCTGAGATTAAGGTACTATTGGTGAAATGAAGGTCAATTTTAAGTTTATACTAAAACCTGTATATTATCAATTTCAGCACCATGTTTGTTATTTACAACTGAAGAGATAAAGGATTATATAGATCATCTTGAAATGAAATTAAATATTTTATATAAAAACATGCAGGAAACTAATAGGTAAGAATTTTAATAAAATGTTTATGAGTAAATAAGAACTTATAATTTCTATGTGGTACTTACTACAAATATAGGTTCAGCATTGCATTTAATACAGGTATAAAACCATATTTCATCTGTATCTAATTTGATTTTGATGCAAATCTGGAGATTTCGTTTCGTGTTAATTCTGTTGGTGACCTCACCCTCCATCCATCCAACACTGAATTGTAAGGTCTTAAAACTTATAACAGTGTTTGAGTTTAAGAAAAAAAAACTAGTGCTTTTAGAGTTAAACTATTAAGAACACTATTTAGGTGTGAATTATTTCAGATTATGAATGTCAGAAAACAGAGAAAACAGGAAATGAAACATTCAAATCTACATTTC